TGGCCATCAAGCTGGATATAGGGATGGTGAACTAAGCCGTGAGGCAACCCTTTGCAGTAACTGGACAGTATAAGCAAATTCGCTCAAACTGTTTCAGCGGGCGCCATGGTTTGCAGGAAAACTGTCGTTCTCTGTAAAAGCCGAACAAGCAGAACGAGCGAAAAGAAATGTGAGACACCAGTCGCAAACCCCAGAACATGAATGTATGATAAATGCGTGAGCTAGGGTTAGCAAACGTTTGCTAACCCTGGCAGGCATTGAAATTCCACTGTTAAGGATCTGTGTCAAGGCCTGCCAGGGTTTTCTGGTGTAGGGTTTTTCTGAAAATCAATGAATTTAGCAAAATTTCAGCCTAGCTAGGGTTAGCAAACGTTTGCTAACCCTAGCTCCTGAAGTTTGACTTTTGTGTGTTCTTGGGGTTTCGCTGCAATATCTGAGGGATAGACCATGCGTGGTCGGTGGTCACATCAAAGAAGCGGCGCGTCGGCTTTGGTGCTGATACGTATGCTAAAATTAGAAATCCAGGCGTTCTCATGGAAGATCTTTTTTCATAAAAAATCTTGTGAAATGAACATCCCAAAATCCTTTTTGAATTCCACAAACACATGGCTGAGATCTTGTTAGCAATCAGTGCTTGGCAGCTTGCGATGAGGCTGAAACAACCCATGAGCCGTGCAGGGTGCTATACCTTTTGTCAGCCAAGTTCAGTTTCAAATCACTGATTATTCGTGCCTGTTCCCCCTCTCACATGGAATTGTCAGGTAGCAATTTTGGGGATGAAGGGTACTCATGATGAGAATGATGGAACAGGAATGGCGATCAGATTGAGATGCTTGGATGTTTTGGAATGGGTGTTACTGATGATGGCATGGGATGCGGACAAATCCCAGGATCTATTTGAAGATGACTGCCTTCATCTTTTGGTGGGGTCAGGGCCGCACAATTCCGAAGCGACGCCCTATCATTGGGATATCGCGACGTGCACCCTGCTCTGGATCCAGAAAACTATAATTACTGTGTACCAAAAATATCCGCAAGGCCTTTCCATGTTGGAACGCAGTTTCCAACACGATCCTGCACGAAACAACGCAAGGGACACCTTTTGGAGGGTCATTTATAAAACATCTGAGAGTTACCTGGCATCATCATCCCTATCCCATTGTTTAAGGATTGATAACAAACTATGAAGACCTCCGACCTCCTCCGACCACTTGTCGTTGCTTTTCGACATTTTTCCCATGAACTAGTTCCCATTATCTAACTTGCTCAACTTGCTCCGGTCTCTATATGTATATATATAATGGGTGCTTATATCATCTGTTCCATTTCCTCTGTGAATTTGTGTGTATTTTATACACATATATGTACACAGTCTCGGATCCCCGATAACTTGACTCACAAGAAGCATGTTGAGTTTTCCTTTGAAAACAAACCATACAAACTTTAGTAATAACAGCAAAATATGCGTGATTTTCACAATGGTTCATAAATGATCCTGCACTTGCAGCTAAACATGAGATTATCCAATAGATAATAAATGGAACTGAGGCTTCTTCGACACTTATAGATCAGGCACCGGGAGCAAATCGGCATCGAATGGCCTCTTGGCATGTTGTTCCCACATCATCTTCCAGTCGCTGGCATCTATGATATATGTGGACAAGTGTGTCCAAACATATTGTAACATGTCTATATCGTAAAATATGCCTGTATCGGATAATACATCTACGTGTACAACTCTACATGTCAAGGTATGTATGCATACATATAGTATTCTTCAAAGCGATAGAAACACCCAATAAATGTGATGATGATCATCTTATCTTTTCCATCTATTTGGAGTGTACTGTAAAGATTTATATAATCAATTCATTTGTTATGTATACATATATAGTTAATATATATATAGTTAATATATATATATAGTTAACAGATATATATATAGTTCACACATATATATATATTTGAATATATGGTATAGTTTTTTGAATGAGGATCACACAAAATACACGTGGCGCACCTTGTCGAGGCACAGATGCACCCCGATGCCACAAGCCATCTCCTGGCGAGGCATCAATGCCGATGGGCCCAAGCTACAAGTTGTAGATAGTAACACCCCCGTAGATTACCCTCTGGTAATGACTAACATAGCTGTTGAAAATAGCCATTTATAGTGAGTTTTCCCATTAAAAATTGTGATTTTCCATAGCTATGTGAGTTTACCAGAGGGTATTAAACAACTAATAGATAAACTGGTGTAGCAGTAATAACCAGCAACAATCTGCACCTTCACAACAATAACCCAGCAATCAACAATGTAGATTGTACCAATAATAAACGGTAACTCAACCTGCAACAATCTGCACCCCCAACACCCCACTGGCCCCCAAGAATCCAACCACCCAGGTGGCGGGTGCCTGGATGTGCCCTGCGCCCTTATTCTCAACTGACTCTGCGGCCCAGAAGACCGCCGACAGCCCCGCAACCTGCGGAGCCACAGAGGGAGTGGTGAAAGGATGATGATGATGATGATGATGCTGATGATGCTGATGATGATGATGATGATGATGATGGCGGCGATGATGATGATGATGATGATGATGATGGCGATGATGGTGATGATGGTGTTGATGATGACGATGACGACGATGATGAGAATGACGATGACGACGATGATGATGATGACGACGATGACGACGACGATGATGATAATGACGATGATGATGATGACGACGATGATGACGACGATGATGATGATGACGATGATGACGATGATGATGATGACGACGGAAAAAAGAGAGCTGGCAAACCTGCGATGCTGGAATGTTCATCAGATCATCAGAAAAGCTTTCGAGTGACTTTTTTGGGGTTTTTGGTGCTGCTCAGGAGCTGCGCCTGGCTTCGCTAGGCAAGGGCCTAAGCAGGAAAACTTACAGTACACCGAGAGGTCGGCAACTAGTTTCCTTATAAATAAAATACGCCAGCGCTTGTCCTGTGATTTCTACAGCCATCAACCATCGAGAAATACATCTACTGCAATAATTAATAGTTAAATGGCTGTCACAGCCTTATAGAGTCTGTACAGTCACTTCTCAACAGGTTGCATTTCTGCCATTTGAAGTTTACTTTTTGGGACTATTGTACGAGTAGAAATTGTCCGGCCGCATGATTAGATTTCCAAATATCGCAGCGTGAGGGCGCATGTTTTTTGATGGTTCTTTGAAACCGATCCGTGTTTATTATTGCACGTTATAGAAGGCATTATCCATCAGAAAACTTCCCAAGAAACTGGTTCTCGGCAAATGCTGAGGTTCTTGCGCGTGTTGCTCGCAAATTCCTTCGCCTGAATCTTTGCCGTAATTGCACCTACTTCGCTCAAAAATCAAATTACTTTACTTCGAGTGATCCCCACCATGACATTTATACGTTTTGTTACTGGCAAATCTTCTGGCATTCTATCTGACATATCTTCTGGCATTCGATCTGGCATACCTTCTGGCATTCTATCTGGCATATCTGTTGGCATTCTATCTGGCATATCTTTTGGCATTCTATCTGGCATATCTTCTGGCATTCTATTCTATCTGGCAAATCTTTTGGCATTCTATCTGGCATATCTTCTGGCATTTTATCTGGCATATCTTCTGGCATTCTATCTGACATTCTGTCTGGCGTTATATCTGGAATATCTTCTGGCATTCTATCTGGCCGTTGAGGTCCACAAGTGCCCACTGACCTCTGGAAGGTCCCAGGTCGAGGTCCAGTGGTGCCCACTGACCTCTGAAGGTCCCGGGTTGAGGTCCACCGGTGCCCACTGGGCTCGGAACGTCCCATATTGAGGTCCAGTGGTGCCGACTGAGCTCTGGGCTCGGAAGGTCCCAGGTTGAGGTCCAGTGGTGCCCCACTCAGATCGGAAGCCGGCAGTTGAGGTGCAGCAGTGCCCACTGCGCACGGAAGTTGCCGAAGACATTGGCGAAGAGCTTGGCGAAGAGTTGGCGAAGAGCTTGGCGAAGAGCTTGGCGAAGAGTTGGCGAAAAGCTTGGCGAAGAGCTTGCCGGAGGAGGAGGAGGACGAGGAGGAGAAGGAGGAGGCGAACAGCTCTGATAAAATCTAACAACTCTCACCTGGCAGGTGGGGAATCAAAGTAGCTATCCAACCTTCCATTTCAAAAAGTAGCAGGATAGCTCATACAAAAGACATGCGGCATAATATGCGCATCTATTTTGCAAGTAGATAAGAACATGAGCGAGGTATCGTTGCCACCAGTTGCAGTTTGCGAAGATCAGCCGGTATGTCGTCAGCAGTGGGGAAAAAAGGCATCCTGGTTCTTGGTTGAATTTGGACCGAGCATTGCAAGAAAGTTGTGCCGAGCATCGCTGTTGGATTTGGACGCCAGACTACCAGCTCGGCCAAGGCGTGAGTGATTGTGGAGGATTAGGTTTAATTTGGGGACATACAGAGTAAACAAAATATTTTTTTGCAACCCAGGTAAGATTAGGAGTCCGTGCTGGAAGTTTGTTCTGAGCATACCTGGTTCAACTTCGCCCACGGGATAGTAAAACCTATGTTCCGAGCCAACACAACCAGACGCGTTCGCGCGAAACGATGTCCTGAAACCTTCTTGGTCCCAGCCAACATGTTCAATATTTTTTTTGCAGATTTCGGAACATGCTGTTCGGCTAAAACATTTGTTTATTTCGATTGATCCCCAACATGGCATTTCAAGGCCATTGCATGCCATTGCTCTGACATACTTTGCCAAACTCAAACCACGACAAGTTTAGACACAGTTTCAAACAAAGGTGAAAACATCGCATTTTCATACTGCAAGAACTCCGGCCATAAGCCCCATTACAAACCTCACGCCATTGTTTTGATTTTCAAGGGGCGAAAATGTGATACCTTTAGCCCTTAACCCTTAGCCCTCCAGTGTTAAAAGATGTGGCACGTGCGAGGTGAGACTTGCACAGCTATTTTGGGTAAAAAGTTTAAACTTTTAGATGCCTGGAGTTTGGCTGAGTGAGATCACTGATGATCCTGAAGAACTGATTGCAAAGAGTGGAACCCATGGAATCTACTATGAGCCCCGGTCAGCCTGCGGACGCTTCCCCAATGGAAGCTATCATGTGACCTGGCTACAGAATGCAACGTTTCAGGATGCCAAGTATGCCCAGCAGACATCACCTCAATCCACATCACTGGCACGACATGGAGAAAGATATGGATTACGCTCAGACACGTTGAATGCACAGGAAATCCACACCAAACATCGCCCAGATGTACCGCTTCTGCTAGGCCAGAGCAAAAAGATGTATGCCATTGGACCTCTGCCATACTCCACCACCAAAAGTGCAATCCACAAATTGCTCAAAGCCTGGAAGTGGGAAGGACGGCCGATCCAACCCAAAGGGCGTAGCCAAGACGGAACAGGCATTACCTGGGCAATCCAGGCCACTGAAGATCCAAGTCACTGGGTTTTCACACTCCAACATGGCGATGTGCTCGTCACGAAGTTGAAGGAGGACAAACCAGTTGACATGCCTGCACCATACTCCATCGTAGCCAGCAGAAAGACCCTGCAGCACTTGCAAGCGAATGCCACAAATGCAGACAACGTTGATCCATGGCTGGCCTATGACCCATGGAAACAAGGAAACCAGCCAAAAGCATCAATGCAGCCAGGGACGCCAAGCCTCACCACGTCCCAACTGGCAGCCATTGAGAACAACATCGAGAAGAAGGTCCTCCAAGCCATGTCGACACGAGTGCCTCCCCCAGAAACGGACGTCAACATGGATTCACAGGCACTGGAGTCTCGAGTTCAACAGTTGGAAAGCCATCTGCACCATGTTCAAAATGTGCAGACATGCGTTGAAGCCAAAGTTGGACAGATAGAACAACAAGTTCATCAGGTCCAGATCTCACAGCATGGAGTGGAATCCACCATAGGCCAACTCCAGCAGAAGTTGGATCAGCAGAGTCACCACATGGGTAGAACCCTTGATGCCAAGCTTGCCGAACAGATGGACAAAATCGAGGCCTTGCTCTGCAAACGGGGCCGACACGAGTGACTAGCCTCCTCAGCCAAAGTTAATTATGTGGGAACATCGGAAAAAAGCTGCAAGGCAAAGCCCATGCCCACATCTGCACGCCGATATCCACCAGCAAAGCCGCCAGTGGTCAAACGCCTTTTTAGGTGCCTCACGACAATTTTTGTCTTTTTCTCAAATCAAATTAGGCTAGGGGAAGCCTCACATCCAGGTCCTCATGTCTTTGGCAACGCAAACCCCACCGGTCTGATGGGGAAGAGTGCAGATCTTGGATCACTGGGCTCTACCAGTGTAACTGTGGCAGTACAAGAGACGCACTTGACCTCTCAAGGGATTAGTAAGTTCAAGAAAGAGTTGACCTGGCAGAATACAGGTATGCACCTATCACACGGAGCACCAGCTCCACCCAAAAACCAGTCAGTCAAAACCTTAGGAGGAAAACAAACAGGGGTGGCGTTCCTGAGTCACCATCCTCTCCGAAGCCTTGTCGGTCATTGGTCCACCGAAGATGTCTCCACAGGCCGTTGCCATGCAGCCGCAGCCTTCATCAACAGCAGGTGGATAACAATGGGCACAGTGTATGGCTACAGTGAAAGAGCACACACCATGGAAGTTCAGCAAAACACGGACCGACTTTTGTCCGGTTTAACATCCAGGGTTGTAGATGGAGCCAAAGGCTTCAGAATGGTCTCGGGGGATTGGAACTTGGACCGTTCATGCATTCCTCAAGCAGATGTTTGGGAGAACCAGGGTTGGCTTGAAGCACAGCAGTTGGCATATCTAAAGTGGAATAGACCCCAGCAATGCACTTGCAAACGGAGCACAGTAAAGGACTACCTGTATCTTAGCCCTGAAATGATCCCGTATGTCCAAGAAATCCAAATTGACTGGAGTCTATTTGCAGACCATGCAGCCATCCTGGTCACACTCAGTGACATTGACCGACCTCCCATAGTTCCTTTGTGGAGAAAGCCAAAGCCAATCGAATGGCCTCACCAAGTTCCAACCGAAGTTAACTGGCAAACAGCAGTTAGTCCCAACCCAAATTCCGATCAATGGTATCAAGAGATTTGGGAAGATGTAGAAAAATATGCTGACCACCTCCAAAGCCATGCGTCCCAGAGTCCACTACGCCAAGACCAGAGGGGTAGAGCAGTCACCAGAGAAGTGACATGGCAAAGTAATGCAGCAGCGCCAATTAAGCCGAACCGCAGAGGTGACGTTCAATCCCAATTGGCAAGCACCAATTTGACTCACAGCAGGTGGACCAAGCAAATCCGACGATTGCAAAATTTTGTGAGACTCACCCAGAGTCAGCAAACCAGCCTGCATCATGTCGAACACAAAGCAAGCCTATGGCGATCCATCCGTCAGTCCACCGGTTTCCCCCAAGGATTCACCAATTGGTGGAGTAAACAACCCAAGCAATACCCAGAAAGCCCAGCGCAGTGCCCTTTTCTCCCGCCGAAGGCAGCAGTGGCCGAGCTAGTGTACAGTGAATTCTTGCATCACTATCGACAACTTGAACACAGCCTGCAACAGGCAAGACACGTCCATGCCATGCAAAGACGTGCCCAAGATCCACTTGTGATCTACAAGGATCTGCAAAAAGATCGTGCAGAACCGGTGCAAACAATTGTGCAACATCTGCAAATTCCAATCCAGAGCAAAGAAGTGAAGGAAGACAGGATGATCCTCTCTTGTAGCCAACAGCTTCCGCCAGCCACAGCCAATGTCAAGGTTAACAATGTTCCAGTAGCAGTCCAAATCATCGATGAAACAACGCTCGCCATGCCAATCTACTCAGCCGAAAATTTGGGTGATGAGATCCAGATGTCCCAGCTTGTCGGTGATGTGCCGGCAATTCTCTCAGCTTTTGAAAATGAATGGGCTCCCAGGTGGCAAAAACATGATGATGTTGACCCCGAAAAGTGGCAACCCATTCTTTCCTTTTTAAAAGCAGCCATCCCGAAGCGCGAGGTAGATTTCCCACAAATTTCCCTTGAACAATGGCGCAGTGCCATAGCAAAGAAAAAGAAAGCAGCAGCAGTTGGACCAGACGGTGTTTCCCGAATGGACATGCTCAAAGCACCGGAAGTAGCCCACAGATCCATGATAGACATGATCACAGCGATTGAGGCGGGTCAAGCCTGGCCATCCCAGGCCGTTACTGGGCACGTGGCCGCCTTGGCCAAAACACCTCAAGCAGAAACCATCCAGCAATACAGGCCAATATGTGTCTTTTCGCTGTTTTATCGCACGTGGGGTTCACTCAGAGCCCGTCAATGCTTGCGGTATCTATTAGACATAGTGCCACACACGTTGCATGGAAACATCCCAGGTAGATCTCCCAAACAGGTTTGGTTTCATGTCCAGCAGTGTATAGAGCATGCGTATAGCCAAGCAACAGAACTAGCCGGAGGAATCATTGACTTAGTCAAATGTTTCAACACGCTCCCAAGAAGCATCCTGCAAGACCTGGCAACGCACCTCGGTCTGCCCAGTTGTGTCATGACACCATGGACCAATGCCTTGCGTCAAATGTCTCGACGTTTCCAAGTAAGAGGCTGTGTAGGCAAAGCCATTTACTCCTCTTGTGGGTATGCCGAAGGCTGCCCATTGAGTGTCGTAGCTATGGCAGTCTGCAACATAGCCATTGAAGTCTACATGTACCACCGCTTTCCCAAGGTACAGGTGTACTCTTTTGTTGATAACATCGAAACCTTGGTGCAATCAACCTTGGAAGCTATAGCAGCCATGGAAGTCCTAGTAGAGTTTTGCCAGCTGTTAGACATGCAGGTCGATCCCACCAAAAGCTATATGTGGTCCACTACGCCACAAGGAAGAAAACTCATCCTTGACTCCGACCAAAACAAACAACTTTTTGCACGAGACCTTGGTGGCCACATGAATTATACCAGACTTGCTACCAACAGCACCGTGCAAGCCAAAATTGAGACCTTCCAGCCATTCTGGTCGAGATTGGCCAGATCTTGTGCACCCTTGTCCCAAAAAGAGCGGTCCCTTTATGTAGCAGCATGGCCCAACCTTTTCTACGGGGTAAGTACCGTGACCTTAGGCAATAACCACTACTTGAAGCTGCGCACCGCAGCGACAAAAGCGTTAGGTTTGCACCAAATGGGAGCTAATCCCATGCTCCAGTTGTCATGTGTCAGCCCAGTTAGAACAGACCCAGAATTCTACAGTGTCCTTGCCACCATCAATGCCTTTAGGGAGTTTCAAACGCCGGACCTGGCGCACCAGGTGCTTGAATCACAAGTACTACAAGGCAGACCCACACCAGGGCCGTGCAAAAGTTTTTTGATTGCCATCCATAAACTTGCATGGTCTTGGGTTGCCGCAGATGTGTGTCTGGATCAGTTTGGCCTGCCAGTCTCTATCCAGAGGAGCCCCAAGCAAGAACTGGTAGAAAGAGTTAGTGAGGCGTGGCAGCAACGCGTTTTAGCCCTAGTAGAAGCTGACAGAACAACGATGAAAGACCTAGGACAAATGCACGTGGGCCTCACCCGCGAAACTTTTCAGAAGCTGCCACAAGAACACCAAGGACTCATGCGATGCGCGCTCAATGGCACTCAGTACACAGCAGATGCACTCCACCATGCCAATCAGGTTGAAAGCCCAAATTGTGTGTTTTGTGGGGGAAGTGACAGCTTGTACCACCGTCACTGGGACTGTCCGCATTTTGCAGACTTGCGTCCTAATCCTGAGCTGCTCGGTGGTATTGACACTACCACCCCTAATGCCACAACATGTCATGGATGGATTAAAACACCACCGAGTTTGTTGCCGTTTCGGAAGCAGTTGTTGCAGATCAAAGACACCACTTGCAGGTTCTTTCCCCCTCCACATGTGGACAATGAAGTTAAATATCTCGATCTTTTCCTTGATGGTAGTTGTGCCAATCCAACAGACCCATACACGAGACTTGCCACGTGGGCAGTTGTTCAGTGGACGGGGAAACAATTTTGGCCTATTGCTCAAGGAGGAGTCCCAGGACTGAGGCAAACCAGCCTCAGAGGTGAAATCCATGCAGCCATGGCCGCTTTGAAATATGCAGTTTCAATAAACATGCCATGTAGACTTTGGATAGATAATGCAAGGGTTTGTAAAGTCCTCACCCAGTGGACTGAAGGTATAGACGTAGACTTGGATAAAAGCAAAGATGCGGATTTATGGCACCAGCTCCGCGACCAGTTCAGACATGTTGCCAGGACCATTTCCAGCATCCACAAAATCCAGGCACACGCAGATACTATAAACCAGTTGCACCCCCTCGATGAGTGGGCAGTACAGGGAAATCAATCAGCAGATCACCATGCCTCAAGAGCTCGGGCGTTATTGAGCCCCCAACTTCATCAAGCACGCGACCAGCTAGTCGCTGAACTTCACCGAGCTCGTAAACTAGGCTTAGAACTGCATAACTTCTTTGTAGCGGTGTGTTGCCGAGCAATGCAATCCACGCGACAGCCGGAACCAGCCCAACCAGCAGGAACAGACGCCAATGCAGCACCAGAATGTGACGCAGGAATCCTGAAACTAGCGCAGACCAATATGACCGACCTTCCAGCGAAATTTCATAATGAAGACACAGAACAAGTAATGAAGTGGATAACCACTCTGACAGATGCAAGCCAACCAATCCTTTGGGTGACATTCCACCAACTTTTGGTGGATTTTCAAATGCACACTGACAAGATTGGACCACGGTTTGAAGGAAAGAGATGGTTCGCTACGCATGATGACATGTCATACAGTTACAAGAAACATGTTGCGTGGTTCTCAAGGTTCATGCAAGGTATAAGCACTGCGGTTGAATCTACTTTACAGATCCAACAATGCCGACCTAGCAGCCATGTACTGAACTTTTGGTGTGGCGCAATACAAATTCACTTCAACACGGAGAGACTTAACAGACTGGACGACTTTTTCAAACAGTACGCTACGGCGTTACCGGCCCGTCAGATCGCACGTGATCTTTCACGCCTTCCTCCAGGTCGTTGGCCGACTTAGGTTTCAGTTTCTTTTGTTGGAGCACCCGACTCCGTTTTCTGAGCGGATGCAGCGAGTGAAAGTGAGAAAGTGAGAGGGTTTTGACCCATGTTCATATCGGTATACTTATCACATAGGACAGGCATCCTTGAACTTGATTTGCCGGTGCACTGGCAGCTGCCTATGCACTACTTAGCCATTCAAGCACTTCAAACAAGCCACTATTGGGCGAACCAAAACTGATTATCACCTGACTTCCCGCGAAAAACGGTTGGCATCTTAAACTGAAAAAACAACACCAAATTCGTCTGATGTGTAATATATTCTAACAATATTTAATATTGTTAGAATATATTACACATCAGACTGGTCACTCGTAATACATATGTATATATATATATACATAATATATATATATATATATATACATAATCATACATAATTAAACAAAAAAACGATATACATAGTATATATATATATATATGTATAGGAAGAACATCAAAGAACTACAAAATGATTGATTTCTGGCACCCTGATTTTCTTTTGGATTGAGGCCATTGGATTCACTGGCTTCATGGCACTGGAACACTTCAACTTCGTGACCCTTCAGGTGTTGGGCATCATGTTATTCAACATAAATCAACATAATATATATATATATATATATATATATATATACGCGCAACGCCTGGGTTCTGCCCAGGCGTTGCAGCGTATATATCTACAATTCACAAACAAATGATATTGCAAATTACAGTAATTCCTATGGGAAAAAAACAAAGGTATTAGGGACTATTAAACAAACAAGGTCAAAACGAAATTCCTATGGGAAAAACAAAAACAGCATAATATCTGAAATTTCTATGAGAAAAACAGAAAAGGTACTAGGAAATTTTAAACTCTCAAATCGTGAAACTTAACATTCAATTAGGAAGATCAACAAAGATATTAAGGAATGTTAAACTCCCACCCCCATTAAACCTTAAATTCCTATGGGAAAAACAGCAAAGGTACTAGGGACTATTTAAAAAAAGGGTCAAAACACCCGAAATTCCTATGGGAAAAACAAAAACGGTATTAGGGAATATTAAACTCCAACCCCCGTTAAACTTTACATTCAATTGGGAAGATCAACAAAGATATTAGGGAATATTAAAACTACCACCGCCGTTAAACTTCTACATTCACTGAAGATCTTCAATAAGGGTTTAATTGTCCCACCCCCGTTAAACTTCTACATTCATTGAAGATCTTCAATAAGGGTTTAATTGTCCCACCTCCGTTAAACTTCTACAGTCATTGAAGATCTTCAATAAGGGTTTAATTCTCCCACCCCCGTTAAACTTCTACATTCATTGAAGATCTTCAATAAGGGTTTAATTCTCCCACCCCCTTTGAACTTCTACATTCATTGAAGATCTTCAATAAGGTTTAATTCTCCCACCCCCGTTAAACTTCTACATTCATTGAAGATCTTCAATAAGGGTTTAATTCTCCCACCCCCGTTAAACTTCTACATTCATTGAAGATCTTCAATAAGGGTTTAATTCTCCCACCCCCGTTAAACTTCTACATTCATTGAAGATCTTCAATAAGGGTTTAATTCTCCCACCCCCGTTGAAACTTCTACATTCACTGAAGATCTTCAATAAGGGTTTAATTCTCCCACCCCCGTAAACTTCTACATTCATTGAAGATCTTCAATAAGGGTTTAATTCTCCCACCCCCGTTAAACTTCTACATTCATTGAAGATCTTCAATAAGGGTTTAATTCTCCCACCCCCGTTAAACTTCTACATTCATTGAAGATCTTCAATAAGGGTTTAATTCTCCCACCCCCGTTCAACTTCTACATTCACTGAAGATCTTCAATAAGGGTTTAATTCTCCCACCCCCGTTCAACTTCTACATTCACTGAAGATCTTCAATAAGGGTTTAATTCTCCCACCCCCGTTAAACTTCTACATTCATTGAAGATCTTCAATAAGGGTTTAATTCTCCCACCCCCGTTAAACTTTCTACATTCATTGAAGATCTTCAATAAGGGTTTAATTCTCCCACCCGTGAAACTTCGACATTCATTGAAGATCTTCAATAAGGGTTTAATTCTCCCACCCCCGTTCAACTTCTACATTCACTGAAGATCTTCAATAAGGGTTTAGTTCTCCCACCCCCGTTAAACTTCTACATTCATTGAAGATCTCCAATAAGGGTTTAATTCTCCCACCCCCGTTCAACTTCTACATGCATTGAAGATCTCCAATAAGGGTTTGATTGATGATGATGATGATGATGATGATGATGATGATGATGATGATGATGATGCGTCGCCCGTCGTCGTTGCGGGTCCGGGCAGAACTCAGGCATTTGCCGTATATATATATATATTCATTCATATATGATATGATCCATATCATATTATATATAAATATATGTTTACGTATCCATGTAGTATAATATTATAAATATATATACGTAAATAGATACATAGATAAATAAATAAATAGATAAATAGATACCAAAACAAATATAAATAAATCTATGTGTATATATAGCCTCGTCCCCGCTCTTGGAACCGCGCAAACCTGAATTAGGTTGGTAAAACTTGTCCATTCCATGACAAAGTTTAGTCGCGGAATTAACAAGTTTCATTAGGGTCATCATCATCATCATCATCATCATCATCACATCATCATCACATCATCATCATCAGCATCATCATCATCATCATCGTTAACATCCCACATGAACGTTAACATCCCGTAGCATCAACTGCTGCCGCAAGTTCACATGAACGTTAACATCCCACCCCACCCCCCCCGCGTTTGCGTAGCATCAACTGCTTCTGCAAGTTCACATGAACGTTAACATCCCACCCCACCCCCCCGCGTGTGCGTAGCATCAACTGCTTCTGCAAGTTCACATGAACGTTAACAACCCACCCCACCCCCCCCCCCGCGTCTGTGTAGCATCAACTGCTGCGCAAGTTCACATGAACGTTAATTCACATGAACGTTCACATCCCACGTTAATTCACATGAACGTTAACATCCCACCCCACCCCCCCCACCCCATCGTATGTGGTTCCAGGAGCGGGGACGAGCCTATATATATATATATATATATAATATTATATAATTATATATATATATGCACATGCATAGAGTTACCAATTTCCCTTTGGAGCATCACAAGTTGCTCCTCAGCCCCTGTGAGGAGTTCATGTTTCTCTGGGGCTTCATTTTCATCGTGCCTCGGAGAAGTTCCAGCCCCTTTTGTTTGCGGGTTTGGCTGTGGGTTACCTTGGTGGCTCTAGAGTGTTTGTACCTTGGTTGCTGATCTTCAGATGGGACGGCTTAGTTTTCAAAGCACACCAGGACAGGATATGAGAAGTCTATGAGTCATCTTAAGTGTGCCAAGGCCGAGCCAAAGAACATCTGAACTGAAACCCATCAAGCCCCAACAATACTGAAAATTACGGGCTAGAACTCCATAGCCTTGGGATTTGGATGGTGCAGGAGTATGCATCAAAATGGGGTAGCTGAGCTAGTATATCTGATCAGTTGACACATGTTGACACCTTGTGAAAAAGATCTTCAGTAATTAACTTGGGTTAACTCATAAAGACACCAAACAATATCCCAATCCCCCTTCGCAGCTGTGGCAGGTGGTGACGTTGCTGGTTGGCCTTCTGAAATCTGAGGGTCAAATTCCTCCTGAAGATGAACCCGCGCCTTGGAGGATCACCCCACCTGGGTCACCTGTGAGTTTTTCTGTCATTCCTGGAGTTATCCCATAACCCATGACGGATCCATAGGATCCATGGTGCTGCTACATATGCTAACATGTGAGGTATATTGATGGGATCCATGTTACCATATATATAGCAGCATACATGGATCCTATGGGTAACTGGGTGAACCAACCCCACTTACCAAGCAGTTCAGTGGCATGGTCCTCCCGTCAACGTGGCTGGAAAATCCCCGAGCGAAGCGAAGCTTTGCTGGGAGAATCATCCAATTGGGGGGAGTTTCCACATTTTCCATGTTTGACACCGGAGGGTAGTATGACATATACACCCCAATCGAAGCCCTGGTGATACAGGATCAATCTGGTGATTTGGTACCACAACATACTCCCCAAAGTGGATCAGGTCAACCAAACACAGTGGATTCTGGACATCCTAAGACTGTGGATTCAACGAGAATGGCAGTTTTAACATGCTTTCAACATTTTTCAACCAAACAAATGAGATTTAATCCTCTAGATTTATTTTATGATATATCACAGAATGATCTCACCGGTTTCTTTGATGTGTTTAAGCCACCTATGCCATGCCATGCACTCTGGTAATCGAAGAGAGCTGGCTGGAGATAGACCATTTGGGACAGGAATATCATCTTGTTCTGAAGATTTTCTGGGCATGTGTTCATCAACGGATAAGCTTATCAAATGTTATATTCGCATGGATGGAAATTTGCAGTCCACAGAATGTACAGAGCCTTAGATATTGTTTTGTCACTTAAGTCCAGTTGGAACTAGACCCAGTCATTTGCATAGATCAGCGGATCTCAGCTTTTGTTGCGAAAAAACAACAACAACTTAAACACAACTTCCGCTTCTACAGTGACGTTTTTGTCCGTTTTGGTCCGTTTCGGAACCTCCGGTCCCAATTCAGTTTTCCCCCTATTTTTGCCTTCATCGTCCCATCTTCCGATAGATTCGCAATGGCGGTCCCTGCGCTGAGGAAAGCATCTCATCTGCCTATGGGCACATGTTCCAAATCCTGCGACTGCATCCCATCCGTCTCCTGCTACTTCTCTTGGCCACCTGGAAGTTTCCCTTTGCCATTGCCGATGGTACCTCGGTGACAGGTTTGCTGGCGGTACCCGGCCCATCTGCAGCTAAAATCTAAAACATGCGCAAAGCAGACAGGTTGATGGCACATTGAAACATGTAACTGTGTACACTAACCTTCTTTTTTTGATATATATATATATTATATATATAATATATATATAAATATTTATTTGGAAATGCGATATTATAAACATATTGACAAATTAAAACGTTTCATGGCTTTTCTCCATCTTTTTGGGGTTGCCCCATTGCCAGACCCGAGGCGTGGCCCCTCTGAAGTTGCAGGAGTTTGGTGTCAAGAAGGCTGGGTTTCAAGCACTGCCATCGGAAGCCGGAAGCCTCTGGAAATATGCAAACACAATTTAACAAAATACATGTTATGCCTTGACATATGCAATTGTTTGGCAGGTCCAGCCAATTTGTACTTTAAGGAATAGTTTGCTCCAAAAGGTCTGTTTTGCTTTCTTTCTGAAAAAGAATCCTGACAGCTTGTACTCCCGATCCAAGATTTACAGTAGCTCAGGGAAAAAAATCCACAGGACACCTCCAGCTTCGGATTGTGAACATGCAAAATCTGTCGCTAGGCCCAGTTTCTGTTCATGTTGTTTTAAACAGATGAACATGATATTAATGAATATTATATAAATACTATAGCTATAGATTATTAATATCTTTATTCTGATTTCTATTCATTGTCTTCAGGATATCTAATGATATCTAGCGCTCGGTCTGTCAAGTGTCAAGATCTGGGTGAAATTTGATATACCTCAGAGAATTGTCATAACACATATGATAGCTTCTTGTACACTTCTTAAAACAAAAACATGAAACATATATATATAATATATATATCCTGTATATATACTGTATATATGTATATATATATACACTTTTCTGGAGTGTCCCAGGTTACTCGATCATTGTTTGTTTTGTTTTTCTCCGTGGTCCCAGTCACTGTCAGGAACACATGGCCTACATGGCTTCAGGCATGATGCCCGCCGCTCGGTGTCCGTATCTGCCAATCGTGGGATGGTTGCGAGATCCTGCACCAGTTGATTCAGTTGATAGGTGGTTTATCCCATTATTTATAGGGTTTCAACATGTTTCAACCATCCAAGGTCCAAGGTGGTGCAGGATTTTGTAACCATCCACAGCATGTAGCTGTGTCGCAAGGACTAGGTGGACCTATGATCTTGACGGACAAGAAGCTACAGGACGTGCCTATATAAATAATATAGTTTGATCATTTTGTGTTGTGAAGATTGAAGATTCCGTATAACAAATGGGCGGAATTGGGGAAACCATCATACAGGATGAGGCCCCCAAGATAGCTAAGTTCAGATATAAGTGGCTTACCTATGGTTGCTGGTAGATATAACTATATTTAGTGGGGGTTATAAACCAACTAACACTTGGGGGGCACCATCCTATATGAAATTTCTGGATAATTTCTGGTTGTTCAGGCTTCCAGCTGTTTTTTTATCGATGTTCTGTCTCCTGATGGTCAAGTACACCCAGTTGCCCGCAGGTTTGTCCGAAAATGATGCCCTCCATTCCAAAGGACTATATATCTAACTGGATATCCCTGGTACCCTAACCCCAAAATCGCTGGCATGTCTGCATGTTCATCCCCCCCCTGGCAGCTTTTGATCCATCCCAAATCCCAAACCTATCAGAGGTTTGCATTCTCTTGCCTGCCATCGTTTCTCGCTGGACGAACAATGCCACACCATGGAATCTGGCGATGCAAGCTTATCCCTTGCGAGTTTTGCTGGTGCGCCGTTCATTCGTGTCATCTGAACTGAAGCACGGTTGATGGATTATGTTTTGGCCTTTTTAATGGAGGGCTTCGTTCATGTACCCCTCAAACTTACCCTCCAGATCCTTAGGTCCTTCCAGTTGTCCATTTATTGATATACATATTAAACATATAAAAAAACATGGTAACTGTTCAAAGCTATATCAGTTTACCAGAGGCTATCCTTTCTGATCTGTTTTGGAGTGACTAGCGGCTGCTGTGAAATCTGGCAGGACCTATGTTTTAGAAATCAGGATACCAAGCAGGTCCTTGATCTTTATCCTACTTGGAAAGTTTGTGCTGGTGATGGCAGGTGGCGAACTTCATCCCCCATGGAGTAATGTGGTAAACCCAATCTCACAAACCTACCAGTTGGGGATGATATATGATGATACTGTATTTACCACCTGAGATTGTGATTTTGGGGATGATTCATGATATTTATGGCATTGGGTTTACCATAGTATCACAGGTGGGAAAAATCCTCAATCCCCACGGGTCCCCAGGTACTCGTCTCTGCTGTGCTCGTAAGTTGTACTCCTGCATCTCTTCGCAGCGGGACTGAGATTCCCTGGATGTCCCTGGAACGCCACGGTGTAGAACGTGGGTTTGCTGTGACTCAACCTGGATGACACGTCCAGGACCATATCATACAATGACAGTAATAATTACCCTCTGGTAAATAAACATAGACCCTGAAAATCACCCATTTTTAATGGAAACTAATCTTCCAACCCCCATCTACCAGGGTCTATGTTAATTTACTGGAGGGTAATTGGTTTGATCAACCAGGCTTCAGACTTAAATCCAGGGTGTAAATTGTGATTGCTTGGTGATGGGAAATGGCTGAAATGGCTCATGATTTGACGAAAAAGATGGCCCGGCATCCCACTTCTTGTGGGTTATCTATGGCCCGGCATGAACTGCATTTCCAAGGCCTTTGGTGTAGCTCTTGGGCGGGTATCCGCTGCTGGGCCGAGGTTCTACTCTGTGGTGGTAGTTGTGTACTTCCTTGCCACTGTCCCGTGGAATGAATTGGAATGATAGGAACGGACGTGCAATGATTGCAACGTTCACATCATATGCAATTAAATTTTGAGTACAGAGGTGATGCTGACGCGGTAATACGTGGTATTGGGGTGTCGTGACAATGGCGCCATCCAACTTCATCAATCCCCAACCATTCTCTTTGCCGATCTTTTTGGTCTTTACGTGTTGATATGAAGGTACCTGGACATCCATGATCCATGATTGCCTCTATGACCCACAGTGGATGGACATCATTGGGAAGGGATTAAGAAGGAGTTTGATATCTTGAGTTGATTAAACCCATCTTCTCAGGAAGTGAAGCCTGTGGCTGTTAAGTAGTTTGGTCCTTGGTTAAATCCCTTCGTTCAGCAACTTAATCCGTCCGTTTTTTGTCTAATCATGTTTTCATTTTTGTTGATTAAATCCCGGCCTTGGTTCGACTGTTAAATCATGTTGAATCCATGTTGCTTAAATCCACAATGTCTGTTGTTTGAATCCCAATGTGTGTTGCTTCAATCAATTTGTTCGTTCAATCCACATTGCTGTTGGTGAAATCCACACGTTGAGAGCTCAAATCCATATAGATGTTTGAGGTTGCTGTGCCGTGCTGTGCCGGGGGCCTAGGTGACGAGCCAGTGTATGTTCGTCTCCACCATGGCTTTTTTCGCCCGGATCAGCGATCCGGGAATGGGAGGGACCTACATGACCTTGGTGCGCCTTGGCGCAGCATGTCGTGGAATCAGGGATAGTCCCAGAAAAATATATATGGATTGTTAGGCTACAAAACTCTGGGTCAACCTTAGGTGGACTTGTACAAAGCTAGATTTTGTTAGGAGCTCTATAAATTCTGGATGTTTTACTGCCAAATACTTTGATTTTGGATGATTTTAGATGGGATTTAGATGGGTTTACCATTTATGCCACCAAAAGCCAACGCTTTTGACCAGCTGCCAAGTGTCAGGATGTTGCATCTCACTTTGCCACTGACTAAATGGCATCTTTCTGTAATGAATGAGGTTTCAACATGTTTTAACTGGCTGCTTACATTCAGACTTGGTAGAATATATTTGTGGGTTGCCAATTTTGAGAACCCCTCCAATTTTCGGATTTGCATAGGTATAGTAGTATAGCTGTTGTTTCTTTTTAAAGGCCAACTTTAGATAGCTTATCTGGCTTCGGATGACATAAGTTTGCGACGCTGTGTTTTCATTCTCCTAGACTAACATCCAACAACCACATCCAACAACCAAGGAACACCTTGTCCAATCTGGGAGGCAGCCTGGGGTCGTGTTGGTCTTCCTGGTGGATGGGGACTTAAGCACCTTGCTGCAGGGCTTTCCAAAATAGGACGCATGGGTTTGTCATTGGATGGCTACTCAATGTGAGTTTGTCCAAAAATCGGGATACCCCATAAAATGTCCAATCTCATGGGAAAATTATCATAAATCAAGAGCTTTTGAAGTTTCCGCAACACTATCAAACCAGTATCAAATTGTTGCTTACAAATCCCAGTTCATTCCATGTTATACATTATATCATTATTGTCCCATTTAAACATCCATTTAACAGTGGCAAAACTCCATTAAAACCCTACAGCAACTGATCATAACCTAACAGTATAAAACATCTACAAACCATTAACATGTATTAAGATATGTTCAAAACTCAATTAAAACATATTGAAACCCTATAAAACTTATTGTTCCATCAATCCATCAACCATGGATCAAGCCTGGAGGCATGTGGCCCGGCACGGTGGTGCTGAAGGTCATGGAGGGCATCAGCTGTCAGCAGGAGAGCTGTTTGGTGAAGATCGATGGCCACCCGGCGCGGATGCGCCGGCGTTTTCCGGGTTTTTGAGTGTAACAGAAAGCCAACAAAAAATATGGGCTGAAGCAAGAATAACACAGTTTGAAGATGTTTGAAAGCAACATAAATTGTGGTGTAACCAGTTTAACCATGTTTAACCACGCTGCGAAAAGGGTGGTTAAAACAAACAAAATGGGGGTTTACCCACCAACAAAGATCCTGGTTTAATCAACGAAGGTGGTGGTTGGACCATTTTCAGATATATTGCATGTAAGGTGGGCCATGAAAAGGTGAACATGGCTAAAGCTACCAGCATTTTGGAGTGAAAGAAAGTGAGTTATCCATTTGAGGGATATACTTTGAGGGTCCCAAGAGCAAGTATCTACATAGGTGTCTCTGGTTTTCCTTGGACCTCCACTTCTTGGCCTGCATTTCAGTTCATTTCAGGTCTCTATGATCAGTGATCAGTGCGGTAGATGTTTAATCAAAGCATTCAACTCAACATTTGCCGAACTGAACGAATGTGGCCGATGTCCATCGATTATTTTCAGATAGCACAATGGGTTGCAGTACCCAATGCGGCCAATGCATATTCCGGGCCAAGTATGGATTGCGAGCTTAGTGCGGCCCGCTATTTCACACCCAGCCAGCCAGCCGGCCGGCCGGCCGGCCGGCTGGCCAAAAACCAAGCACCAGCTGGCCGGCCGGCCAGCCGGCCACAAACCAAGCCCCAGCTGGCCGGCCGGCCGGCCACAAAGTAAGCCCCAGCTGGTCGGCCGGCCGGCCAAAAACCAAGCCCCAGTTGGCCGGCCGGCCGGCCAAAAACCAAGCCCAAGCTGGCCGGCCGGCCACAAACCAAGCCCCAGCTGGCCGGCCAGCCGGACGCCACAAACCAAGAACCAGCTAGCCACCGTGGCGCCAGCTGAAGCCAAGCGACAGCCAGCCAGCCAGCCAGCGTGGCAGCCAGCCGGTCGGCCGGCCGGCCGGCGGGCCAAAAACCAAGCCCGGCGAATGAAATGAATGAATGCAATGAAAGAAACGACTGACATGAATGCAATGAATGAAACAAATGAAATGAATGAAGCGAATGAAAACGAATGAAAGAAGTTCATTGAATGAAACGAATGAAACGAATCTAACGAATGAAACGAAACCAAGACATGAAATGAACGAAAGGAATGACATGATTGAAAGGAGTGAAATTATTGAAACGAATGAAAGGAATGAAAATGAACAAAACGAATGAAACAAATGAAAAGGACCAAACGAATGAAGCGAATGACATGAATGAAATGAATGAAGCGAATGCAACAAAAGAATTGATTGGAATGAATGAAATGAACGAAAGGAATGACATGATTGAAGTGACTGACTTGAATTGAAAGAAATGAGCCAAATACATGAAATGAATGAAAGGAACGCAAGGACTGAAATAGCTGTAGAGACTGAAACGAATGAAATGAATGAGATGAACGAAATGAATGAGATGAATGAAAGGAATGAAATAAATGAAATGAATGAAGTGACTCAAATGAACGAAAGGAATGAAATGATTTCAATGATTGAAATGAGTGAACTGAATGAAATGAACATGAAATGACTGAAATGAATGAAATAACTGAAATGTCTCAAATGAATGAAACGAATGAAACAAATGAAACAAATGACATGAACGAAATGAATGACATGAAAGAAGTGAAAAAAATGAACAACATGAAAGAAATGACATGAATAAAATGAATGAAATGAACGAAATGAACGAAAGCAATGAAATGAATGAAATGAAATAGCTGAAACGAATGAAAGGAATGAAATGATTGAAAGGCCTGAAATGAATGAAATTAATGAAATCACTGAAATGTATGTAATGACTGAAATGAATGAAAGGAATGAAATGCATGAAATGAATGAAACGAATGAAATGACTGAATTGAATGAAAAAAATGAAATGAATGAAACACATGAAGCGAACGAAACAAATAAAATTGAAAGAAATGAATGAAATAAACGAAATGAACGAAATTAACGAAAGGATTGAAATGACTGAAATGATTGAAATGAATGAAACAAATGAAGGGAATGAAACGAATGACGTGAATGAAATGAATAAAATGCATGAAACGGATGAAACCAATGAACCGTAGAAATGAAACAAATGAATGAAATGAATGAAACGCATGAAATGAACGAAATGATGACATGAATGAAAGAAATGAAATGACTGAAATGAGCGAAATGACTGAAACAAATGAAGGGAATGAAACGAATGAACGAATGACATGGATTAAATGAATGAAATGCATGAAAAGAATGAAACAAATGAAATGAACCAAATGAATGAAATGAATAAAACGAATGAAATGAACGAAATGATGAAATGAATGAAAGAAATCAAATGACTGAAATGAGTGAAATGAATGAAACGCATGAACGAAATGAACCGAATGAAACGAATGAAACGAAAGACATGGAGGAAATGAATGAAATGAATGAAATAAATGAAATGAATGAAATACATGAAACGAATGAAGCGAGTGAAATGAATGAAACGAATGAAATGAACGAAATGAACGAAATGAATGAAATTCATGAAACGCATGAAATGAGTGAGATGAATGAAACGAATGAATCAAAATAAAATGAATGAATGAAATGAATGAAGCGAATAAAAGCAATGACATGAATGAAATATAATGAAATGAACCAAATGAATGACATGAATGACATGAACGAAATGAATGAAATGATTGAAATGACCGAAATGACCGAAATGGCTGAAATGAAATGAAATCAAACGAAATGAAATGAAATACATGAAAGGAATGAAACGAATTGAAGCGAAAGAAATTAATAAAATGAACGAAATGAATGAAACGAATCAAATGAAATGAAATGCAATGAAATGACATGACATGAAATGAATGCAACGGATGAAACACATGAAATAAATGCATTAACGAAATGAAAGTTATGAATGAAATCAATGAAATGCATGACATGAATGAAGGGAATGACACGCAATAAATGAATGAAATGAACGAAATGAACAAAATGAATGAGATGAATGAAACGAATGAAACGAATGAAACGAATGAAATGAACGAAACGAATGAAATGAATGAAACGAATGACATGAATGAGATGAATGAAACGATTGAAAGGAATGAAACTTACCACATGAATGAAATGAATGAAGTGCATGAAACGAATGAAACGAATGCAATGAAACAAATGAATGACATGAATGAAACGAATGAAATGAACGACATGATGAAGTGAATGAAAGACATGAAAGACATGAAATGACTAAAAATGAGTGAAATGAATGAAACAAATGAACAAAATGAAAGAAATGACACGAATGACATGAAGGAAATGAATGAAATGAGTGAACTAAATGAAATGCATGAAACGAATGAAATGCATGAAACGAATGAAATGCATGAAACGAATGAAATGAATGAAACGATGAAAGGAATGATACACATGCATGAAATGAATGAAATGAATGAAACGGATGAAATGAACGAAATGAATGAAATGAATGAAGGGAATGAAAACAATGAAACGAATGTAACAAATGAAACAAATGAAACGAATGAAAGGAATGAAATGAATGAAATGAACGAAATGAACGAAAGCAATGAAATGAATGAAACGCATGAAATGAGTGAAATTAATGAAACGAATGAACCGAACAAAATGAATGAAATGAAATGAATGAAGCGGAAAAAATGATTGAAATGAATGACATTCATGAAGCGAATGAAGCGGATAAAAGCAATGAAATGAACGAAATGAATGACATGAACGAAATGAATGAAATGAATGAAATGATTGAAATGATTGAAATGACCGAAATGACTGACATGACTGACATGACTGAAATGGCTGAAATGAAATGAAACCAAATGAAATGAAATGAATGACATGAATGCAACGACTGAAATGAATAAAATGAATGAAATGAATGAAATGTACCAAATGACATGACATGACATGAACTGAATGCAGCGAATGAACCAAATGAAACGAATGAAATGAATGAATTGAACGAAATAAACGACATGAATGAAAGGAATGAAACGCATGAAATGAATTAAACGAATGAAACGCAAAAAAATAGATGAAATGAATGAAATGAACGAGATGAACGAAATGAATGAGATGAATGAAACGAATGAAACGAATGAAACAAATGAAATGAATGAAACGAAAAAACAAATAACATGAATGAAATGATTGACATGAACGAAATGAATGAAATAACTGAAACGAATGAAACGAATGAAATGAATGAAACGAATGAAACGAATGACATGAATGCAATGAATGAAATGAATGAAAGGATTGAAATGACTGAAATGAAGGAAATTAATGAAACGCATGAAATAAATGAACTGAATGAAACGAATATACTGAATGAAATGAATGCAATGACTGAAACGAATGAATCACATGAAATGAATGAAACGAATGAAACGAATCACATGGAAAAAATGAATGACATGAACGAAATGAATGAAATGACTGAAACGAATGAAGCGAATGAAATGAATGAAACGAATGAAACGAATGACATGATTGAAATGTATGACATGAATGAGATGAATGAAATGATTGAAATGAACGAAAAGAATGAAATGCATGGAAATAAATGAATGAAATAATTGAAAGGAATGAAAGGAATGAAACGAGTGAAACGAATTGCATGACTGAATTGAATGAATTGAAGGAATGAATGAAATGACTGAAATGCAGGAAATGAATGAAACGAATGATGCGAATAAAAGTAATGAAATGAACGAAATGAATGGCATGAATGAAATGAATGAAATGACTGCAATGAATGAAAAACTGAAATGAATGAAATCAAAGACCATGCAAGACTGCCACATCGAAACGCATGTCAAGATTTCACAAGAGCCACTTCATACGGAAATTTACATGAAAAATGCCCAAAACGCAGACACACACTTTGCGCGAGCCTGCGCAGTCGAAACGCATGTCAAGATTTTATACGCGACGCTTTATACGAAAACTTACCGGTAACATGCCGCAGAAGAGAGTGACCACCCTGATCAAGCACCAACCTTCGCATCTACCGTCAGAACCCCTCAGTGTAGACACACTGTCTGGGGAAGAATGTTTTACATTATAGCTGCCAAATAATCCCGACCTTCAATCTAACATTCTATCTAACCCTAACATATTTCCTCTAACACATATTCCAGTTTTATCACCTACTCTGTCTACCATTCTTCAACATTCTATCTAACATATACGCTATCTACCTAACATTTATGCGGTCATACTATCGCATATTTCGATTGAGATTTCTTAAAGCTTACAGAATTTTAACATGTCCTTTACATTCTATTTAGCGCTTACTTTAACTAAAATCCGGAACCAAGTAGCTAAGCCCACCAGCCGAGCCAGCGTGCCAGCCAGCCAACTAGCCAAGCAGCCAGCCAGCCGGCCGGCCGGCCAAAACCTTAGCCAATTGGAGGTACAGCCAGCCGTCCGCCGGCCGGCCGGCCAAGACCTTAGCCAATTGAAGGCACAGCTAGACAGCCAGCCAGCCAGCCAACGAAGCAGCCGGCCGGCCGGCCGGCCAGCCAAAAACTACGCCAATGCAAAGGTATCCAGGCGGCCGGCCGGCCGGCCGGACGTAGCTCACACACGCCTAGCCGGCCGGCCGGCCGGAATCAAGACAGACTGGCCGGCCGGCCGGGCAAGAAATAGCAGGCCGAGTTCCCCGCGCAGTCCAAGTATGTTATGTAAAGCTTCTATCACCATCTACCACTGTTACATACTGTTCCGTTTCAATGCCTAAGCGCTCAGTATCAACCACAATTTTTATATCAAATCCAAAGAACGTCCATTTTCAATTTTAAAGTGTCTCTTTTGACCGTTTTTGCCCTATCTACTTGGACTTCCGTTTGAAAACTCACTGGAGTCACTGTTCCTTGAGGCTTCTACGTCATGTCAGGCGCTGTGGGTCCAGGGCCTGCAGGTTCCAGGTTGCCTTTCGGCCATGTTAAGTTTGTTTTGTTATACCATCCAACTGTATATGTCCAAAATATTAGATCACATTATATATATATATTATGATATCTGATATCTATCATCATCTGATATATTTAGTTCATATGTAGCTCTACATAGCTATATATTATATATTATATTGTATATTATATATTATGTATTATATATAATATATTATAGATTATTTATTATATATATAATATAATATATTATATATTAAATACGATATACTATATACTATATACTAAATGTTATATAATATAATATAATATAATTTAATATTAAATTATAATATAATATATTATTTTGTATTATATTATACATAGTAAAATATGTAATAGTATATATATATATATGTGATAAACTATAATAATATATATATATATATGTATGTATGTATGTATGTATGTATGTTCAGCTTTATAATTGTCATTCGTCGTAAATCGGCGGTGCATAAATCGCATGACCTCGCGGCAGGTCTCAGCTTCGTCTATGGAGTTCTCTGGTATTTGCTGGCTGGAAGCCATGCACGCCGTGTGCAGACCATCAAACTCAGCGACTGGAGACTGTAAAATTCGCGCGGTGTTGAAATCTTGATGCGGCATCCCCAATAAGATCTACAAACGTCATTGAAAACGCGCCTTTTTTGTGGATTTTAGTGTTCTATCTTTTTCACAGCTATAGATGATGATGTATGTCCGCTGTTGAAGAAAGAATAACACTACGCTCAAGACCCTCAAGCACTTCACAACCCTAGTATGGACCATGGATGTAAATTGTATGTACTTAACATGCACAAACGAAAATATGAGCAAACCTACCAAGGACTTGTGGAAACCTGAACTTTGGTTCTCTGGCTCCTGGAAGAATTTTGGGACATCTTTGCATTGAAAAACATGTTTTCTTGATGGAGTTGAGCCTCTTCATTTCGTAGATCAAGATGGGATGCTTCAAATCGAACAGTGTGACACATATGCGATTCTTTTAACGTGTTAACAATCTTGCTGAGCTGTTTCAGGCCACCCTTGATGTCTGATCATGAAGCAAAACGAAATCGCTGGAGTACATTGTACTCTCCGGTAATCAAGCATGGCTTGCTGGCTTGCTGGAAAATCCACCATTTGTAGATAATTTTCCCAGCTATAAATCTCCAGATATCAAATTTCCATGTTTGAATACCGGGGGGTGGCATTTCTTTCCTAGACCCACACCTTCAAAACAGGCACCTGAGAATGGTTTGCTCACCGCGCAGCCATGGTTTGCTCAACTCCTGACCAGTCATCACAGGATTTACCAGCCAAATGTGATGGTGAACCAGGCTCAAGAGACCAACAGCTGATCATCGTTTTGAGCGGCCAGCGATGATCCCCATTGATAGTTTTTCCAATCCCGGCATAGATGATCCCCGGCATGACAAGACGACGACTGTGGTTGTCAGCTTGAAATCACGAGCCATAAGATCTAACATATATATATATATATTCTGGTTGGTGGTTTGGACCATTTTTTATTTTCCATAATATACGGGATAATTAATTAATCCTTCCCATTGACTTTCATATTTTTCAAGATGGTTAAAACTTTAAGTTAAAACCACCAACCAGTATTATATATATATAACATTTGAAATCTTATATATATATATATATAGCAATAGCAAGACCATGCAAGACCAAGATTCCCATCAGAACTCCGCTAAGCGTCCCACGCAAAAAACATCCGGTGTGACATCCGGTCGCTCGGGCGCCATGAGCTCCCACCTTGTGGGGCCCAGGCTTCAAAGATGGGAAATCCATGGAGGTTTACATCTGGGTCATCGAATGAAAAAAAGGGGTGATTTTTGTAAGCCATGTTGGATGACACCGGAAGGTAAAACCATTTGAAATTCAGAAATTGCCGTAGTAATCATTAGTAAACCATGTCCATCCATATAATATATCAACATGTTTTCCGAAAATCTTCCATTTAGGTGTTATCATAAAAATCAAAAGCATACCCAAGTGGTCGTGCTTGTTGGGTACCACCTGTTGGCAACACCCAAAACCCCAAAAGGATTCAAACAATGTGTACCCTCTGGTAAACTAACATAACTATGGAAAATCACAATTTTATAGCTGGGTAAATCCACTATTTCTGTGGCCATTGTCAATAGTTTTTTGTATGTTTACCAGAGGGTAATTCACCACTATTTGAGCATGAACATTTGCAACTTTCTCCATCCGACTCAATCCTGTGATGAGTTGAACAGACCTCGGCGCATACCCCACAAGAATCTTTTTTTGGCATCCTTTGATACACCATCTCTAAGTGGCGGGGTATGCTTTGGTCCGGATTTTCTTGGATCTGTTGTTGCTGATCATATAGATATATATGTATATCCCCATGATTGTTGCTTTACAACCCACATTTTCCTAAAACAAAGCCACCATTCTGAAAGATGATTTGCCATTTTTCACTATGAAATCCATAAGTTTTCAAGGATTTTTCCCCCAAAAGACCCGTCATCCTTGGAGCCATCGAGGGGTGACACCAGTGCCTTGACGGCTGCATGGCTGGCATCGTTGAATGGAGGTGGAATCACCGAGCGATGAATGGTCCATTTGGACACGGGAAATGGATTTATGATGCTACAGAAACCCAATGAAACATAGAACTGTGATATCATATGCATCATAATTAATAGTAGACTAATACACTATATAATAATAGACTATATCATATTACATCATATGAAACATACATAAATAATATATATATATATGTATATGATTAGTGGACAATTAATGGATTATTAATGAAATGTAATGGATAAGTGGTGGATAACTATTGATTGACCCTTTGGTAATCAAACGTGGCAAACCTGGTGGTTTATAGCTGGGAAAATCATTGATAAATGGGCCATTTTCCAGCAAGCCATGTTTGATTAGTGGCGGATATTTATGATATACATGTATAATTACAATTATATAGATATAGATAGTAAGATATCTGTAATTAAGGCATCAATAATATCGCAGTATATATATTTGCTGAGATACAAATCTAGGTAGCTGAAATATCCCCTGCATTTCCTGATATGGTTCACAGGGGATTGTAGATGCTATCACTTGTAGGCAAATCAATCTACTGTAATATTCCCAGTGAAATATAGATACATAAATTGTCTGCAGCTGGTAATTGAACGCTGGTGATTGATCGAGAGTTAGGTCTTAGTAGTTCTTAGTAACTATCTACCCATGTATGATCATGTATATACGGAATATCCGAGAATAGGCCTGTGCTAACTACTGACCAACCATTATGACTATATCCATACAGCTTGTGGCCCTGAAAGTCTGAAAGGCGATTGAATCTGCTAGAACCAACCGGAGGGCCATCGGCTATCATGTTGCCATCGGGCATCATGTTTTTTTTGTATGAAAAACCCAGAAGTTTTCACAGAATCCGCATTTTAAAAGAATCGCAACTTTTTCCAACCAGCTAGCTGCTAGCCTCATGTGTTCCCCCTGTTCTTAGAAAGAATTGTCAAAGATGCCACCCCTGCAGGACACCCATGCAAAGAAGCTTGGCTCAGTCGGGGTTGACAAGCGTGGAAGATCAATCCCCGACCAAGCGTGTGCTGTGGAGATCAGTGGCTGAACTTACTGGTGGTGAACATGTCCAATTTTATTGGTTCGAACAAATCAAACACACACACATTATATAATATATTATGTATATATATATATATACATACATATATATATATGTATATGTATATGTATACATATTTGTATATTCATATTTATTGGTATGAGATCGTCTGTGTTTATTGGTCAAGTCTCTTGGGAGCCCCAGATTGAGGTGGGGATTGAGGTGCCGTCCCCTGTCCAAAATGACAACTAACTTGGATGATAGTTGGGTCACCCATTTCAAGAACCCCATTGAAAATCTTCAAAAAGGTGGTGCGCCCTAGTTGTTGTGTTGGTTTCTGGCAGACTGGCCATCCATCCAACTATATTAACTATATATGTTAGTTTGTTTTTTTATCACCATAAATTCGACATTCAACCATAGTTAGCCTAGTTAGACTTTAACTTCGCCAGCTAGGCAGCTAACCATAGTTTTTTCAATCATAGTTCACCTCCTTATAGCCATAACCCATAGTTAACCATTGCAAACGCCATAGTCTTATACTTCAACCATAGCTAAGCATGTTATAATATGTTATAACCATAGTAGAACCCTAGTGAAGCATAGTCAAAGAAGCTTTTAATCACCTTGCTCCAATCATCCCCGTTCCCCATCAACTAAGGCCTCAAAGAGCTCCAAGGTGCGCCAGGTTTTTTGTTTTGGAAACGACAGTTTTGCGAGAAACACATCGCCACACCTTTTTGTGGGGGGTCTATGTTCAATTATCCGAAAACTATATATATACACATGTATACATATATATATATGACAGACTATAACATGGGGTTTTGTAATCACCTTACACAGTTGGTACGTATTGATCCAGAGACACCTCGCTGGATGCCTCGCTTTTCTGCTGAACATCAGCTCAGTCCCTGTGTTTTGCTGCCTGAAAAAAACAAAAGGAACAGTCGACTAACCATGACTATCCTTGCAATTGGCACTTTTAACACCTTGAGATGTCTGATATTTGCTATTTGCATGACTTAAATCCTTGATATTCCTTAATGATGACCTTTAGTACAACAAGATCTGAGAAATTTCCGGTGCAGTTGCCGCTCGTAGCCATGGCTTGCATTCCCATTGTAGAGCCCAAAAGCAGACCTGAGGTGCCCAGTTGGGTCGGTACACATCAATTTTGTGAAAGCAAGGCCAAATCCCTGGACAATTGCGAGTTTTGGGCTTTGTTTAGTGGTGTAAAACGTGAACAAAAGCCTTTGTTTGGTGGAAAGTCACTTCATGTTGCGCGGATGTAGGTCAACTGCTGGCCCGCTACAAAGGACGTCATGTTCTTTGGATCATGAAATATACATAAAAATACCATACTTGCAGGTGCAGTTCCAGTTTTAAGTGGATATATATATATATATAATTATATATAATTATTAGGGTAATGAATATCCCAACTCATAGGGGATTGATAGCATTTTCTTCGCGCAACGAAAGCCCCCGGGCGGCTGTTCGGAGGGCGTGTGATGGTCTTCCAGCTTTGGTACTCTCAGTCACACCTTTGGAAATCTGATTTGTCTTTTTTACCTTGTTGTTTCCAAATGTTTGAACGCATTTCAATGATAGTTGTACAATATACATATATATATATATATCTATCTATCTATCTATGTATACATATGTTTAGATGTTCATACATCTGGCTATAAAACTTACATATAGATTCTGTACTACTTTCTCCTTGGATGAATTGAAGCTGGCAGGTGCCGGCATCGGGAGAAATTGAAGCTGTGGGGATGCCTAGAGGATGAGCAATCCATGATTCAATCTGTGCCCAATTGGAGGTTTCCTAAGTCATGGGGGTCCCCAATAGCTGGATGGTTTATTTCATGGAAAATCCCACGGAAAATAGGATGAGAACTAGGGGTAGCCCTATTTTAGGAAACCTCCATTTAGAACCCCCACAGAAATTATTTACACCCGGAGCCCATATACGCCATGTAGGATAAATCAATGTATATAAATCTTATCTATTGAATTCAGCCCAGACAACTTTCTTTCAGGTAAACCGAAGGAAAACCTGGCGCTAAAACTTGCAAAATTATCCATCCTCACTTTGTGACGGTTAGGTACTCAACATGACCTATCAATCTGGTTACATATCAACATATGTATATATATATATATATATACACATGTATATTCCCAAAGAATCCATTTTTCTGTTGGTTCATCACCATTAAACCCACCATATTCGTTGGTTGGTCCATTGGCATTCCCCTTTTTTGAACCATACTCACGTTTTCCACATTGACCGGTCAGGGCATTGACGTGCCAAAGCTGGAAGAGTTGCTGAAAGTGCGGGGGCCTGTAACCACATCATGGCCATTTCATTGTTGAAATGATTTGGAATGGGACATGATTCGTATTCCAGATCACAAGGTGGTGCCCCCGCAGTTCAAAGTTAGTTATAACATGTTATAAGCCATAGCAACTATAGATGAATCTACCATGAACCCAAGTGAAATTGGAGTTATTTATACACCAACTTAGCGATTTGCCTCACTGGGGCACCACCTTGGAAGTGATGCTTGCAGGTTTGAAACAGCCACAGCAGCTGCCAATGTTAGGGTGTTTGTTGTTTCTGGCTGGACTTAACAAGCTCTACAGAGAATCCCAAACAGATAAGCACAAGACCCAGAGGCAAGCGACCTTGCCAACTCCAGTGATGGGCAGGTCATTCGATGGGATGACAACATGTTAAAACTCACCATTTCCTCTGGGGAAAGTCTGGAAATCAGGCAAGAATATGGGATGAAAAAAAAGATGCTCGATTCAGTTAAGGGCTTGGATCAATGGGGGCTATGTTGGGCTTGAGGACCCCATTGAGAAGCTGCAAATCATCCATATTTTAGCAGGACTTTCCATTTTCCATTTTTTTAAACCATCCATTTTGGGGTAACCCATGGAACCTGGAAACCCCGGTCAGCTGAGGATTATCTGTTTTCAAAAAGCATCGGCACTCTGAACCCTCCGCGTTTCGGAGCGATTCTGGGAGCCAAGCAATTGAGGCCAGGCCGTGACATGCGGGGTGCGTTTTCAACTGGTGAAGCTTGTGCAGGGTATGTTCCACACCAGTAATGTTTTTTGTTCAATCTTTGCACTGCAAAAAGGATTGTATCCTACATGAGGTGATTATATGTTATATATATATTAATTATATAAACACATTATTTATGACTAGTAAATATACATGCATTATCATGCATTAACATGTGTCAAAGACCTTCAAAATAGTGATGTTTTCAGATGTTTTCGCTGCGCAGGGAGAAGCATCTCTGCGTTCTCTACTCCGTGGAATGTGGACCTGAGAGGCGTGCGCGCCCGATGGTATGGGCCATGTGGGGATAAGTTAATTGTTGATCATGGTTCAACATGATTGATAATGAGTGACAATGGTTGGTAATTGAGAATAGTTAATGATAATTGATAAATGATAATTGTTAGTTGGTCATGGTGTATGATTTATAATGATAGTTAATACTGGTAATGTCAACCTCGACATGTTGATCCTTGGGGTAGCTTTTTAGTAGCAGATGACATCACTATTTGGAGGAGTAAAAAACCACCGATCAATGAGGCTTGAACAACCAAAGAGGGTTGGGTGCAGGCGGAATCACAAAGATATCAATAATTTTGACCCATAGCCATAATGTGTAAAACTCTGTACATAGAAAATTCATGTATTCATACATACACCCTTTATTATCCAGAAACAAAGGGAATAAGATAGAGAACAATGGAGATCATCTCCAACATGAACCAACGAAAAGATGGCTCTTGTTGACCTTGGAGCTATCACCCGGGGAACATCCATGAAAGCGATGACATGATGATCTCCCAAAAGGTACAACTGGATTAAATTTAGACCACATTTACCAGAAAATCAGGGTTACCTTTAATAACCTGTATGTGTTTTTGTTTACCACTATCTCACTGGTTGGTTGCGATGTTCCTCCAAAAACGCCAGGCCATATGAAGCTGCCATTGGTGATGGGGATGAGACCTTTGAGGAAAACAGCGTCAGCTGTAAATGACCTGGAATTGGATTGGGGGGATTACCTCCGGACAAACCTGGCTGGGAGATCCACTCTAAAATGGAGGTTTATAGCTGGACATATCATGAACAATCATCTATAGATAGGCCATTTTCCATTTGGCATGTTTGAGTACCGGAGGGTAACTCTATCTTTCTCATGGCCTTATTAAGCCTAAGCAATGGGAATCTCAATCCAAATCTTAGCAATGCGAATCCTCCTGAATCCAAATTGGCCCTTTTTTGGGTGCGTAAAGAAAAACTATTATGAATTGCGAGATGGTAATGATTGATGACATACTCGTAGAATAAAAACACAGATATTATGAACATGATGCTGATTATGATGATGATGATGATGACGACAACGACGACGACGACGACGACGACGATGATGATGATGACGATGATGATGATGATGCTGATGATGATGATGATGATGCAGATATTTGATATTTGATATTTGATATTTGATATCATACATTGGATATTAGATTATCATTTGATCGGTGATCACCTAGAAAGGCATTGGCTGGCTAAGTAAAATTCTTTCACATACAAACGATTCACAGTAGCAAAGTTTAAACAGCTTTGAGGAGTTCGCCTGGGAAGGCAGCTAAAACAAAATCAGGAAGTGAAGATATGGCCAGTACCCACTGGTAATCAAACGTACCGTAACAATGGAAAATCGTTGATCTAAATGGTGGTTTATAGCTGGGAAAATCATCAAACTAAATGAGGGATTTTCGAGCAAGCAATGCTTGGTGACAACGGAGGGTATGTCAGTTGAGTTGTAGTTGTTGTAGTAGTAGTAGTAGTAGTTGTAGTAGTAGTAGTAGTAGTTGTTGTTGTTGTGGTTGTCGTTGTCGTTGTCGTTGTCGTTGTGGTTGTGGTTGTGGTTGTGGTTGTGGTTGTTGTTGTTGTTGTTGTTGTTTTCGGCATTGATCGCAAGAGTAGGGACAGTTTTTTCGTTGGTCGGGTTCAGCATGGCCAAGTTGTTGGTCCCAGCAATGCGTGACCATGCCAGGAACGGTTCGATAAATGGCCAACCTCGCCAACTAAACATATCGAATCAAACTTATGCGCATGGATATATGGGTTTTATCATGTTTTATCCCACTTAAACCATCTTAAACCCCCTTTGCAAATGACCTTGGCCAAGATGATGTGACCATGATTCTTTCCCTTTCCCGTGTCGTCCCAAGGAGGTTGCATACATCACGGACTACTTCAGCGTGTCCGATGCGCCCCCACGCGAGAGCGACACGGTTTCACCGGCGGAACGATTGAAGTAGTGACGCCGACGCCCAAAAGATTGCGTTGAAAAATCTTGAAAATAAGAGATGGAGAAAAAGGTTTTTGTGAAAATCTGGTTGGTCGTTAAAACCATGTGTTATTTGCAGTTATTTTCAAACATGTTTGGATGGATTCAACCGACTAAGATGTTTCAGGGTTGAACCATCAACCACAAAGGTTAAGATTGATTTTCTGCCTACATGTTTTTGGTGTGAGCGCCTTGAGGAGCGCAACGCTTTCGTCGTTTTTCAACACCCCGCTGACCCTGGGGTGGGGTTGGGGTTGGGATGGGAGTCATGTTAACGTTCTTCTGAAGTTGCACACCCACGTGATGCTACGCTGGGTATGGGTTGGGGTTGGGGTGGGGGTCATGTTAACGTTCTTCTGAAGTTGCACACCCACGTGATGCTACGCTGGGTATGGGGTGGGGTTGGGGTTGGGGTGGGGGTCATGTTAACGTTCTTCTGAAGTTGCACACCCACGTGATGCTACGCTGGGTATGGGGTGGGGTTGGGGTTGGGGTGGGGGTCATGTTAACGTTCATCTGAAGTTGCACACCCACGTGATGCTACGCTGGGTATGGGGTGGGGTTGGGGTTGGGGTGGGGGTCATGTTAACGTTCTTCTGAAGTTGCACACCCACGTGATGCTACGCTGGGTATGGGTTGGGGTTGGGGTGGGGGTCATGTTAACGTTCATCTGAAGTTGCACACCCACGTGATGCTAAGCTGGTATGGGGTGGGGTTGGGGTTGGGGTGGGGGCGCGCAGTTCTACGTTTTCGCTCATTTGCATATCCACGATCAACATGATACATACTAAAAAACCTTGCGTTTTCTTACAATATGTCAAAAACATGTGATGACGCAGACATTGAATATCGCAAACAGTACAGCGCTCCTGCGGGCGCTCTGACCTTTACATGTTTTTGGGTGGGGAGGATATATATATATATATATATATTTTGAACCAACAATCAACATTTCGAGGGTCTTGAACATGCTGCAGAAGTGATTCTAGATTTTTCTCGCCCCATCCAAATATTTGAAACTTGTGGCAGGTCAATCTGTCACCCTGTCTTCGCGTTTGCTTTCGGAAGCCTGACATTTCCATGCCGTCCATGCCACTTGACAGAGGGCTGAATTAGACCAGGGAAGCTGACCACAGTGACAGTTGCAAAGTTGACTGGTTGTCTCGGCGGACAAATGATAGCAGCTGCGGTCGGTCAGAGGAGTCGTTCTGTGATAGAGTGATACATATAGTGAGAAGCAAACAAAGTACTCATTGTTCTACGAATCCCTTCTCCCCAATACTAAGCACGCCCTATTCAGTAAGGGATAGAAACACTCATTTGGGACCATATGTGGGATGTTAAATATTAGGGAGATTAAAGCAACTTTTTTTCGTTGGAATGGGGGATGGGATTCCCTATTGAATCAGGTCCTGGGACCTCGACACCATGGAGAAATGTAGGGGATAGAAACACTTAGTTTGGGACTTTAAAAAGATGGGTGTGTGAAAAAATATGATATAAATATATGATATATATATATATATATATACATGGGATGGGATAAATAGAAAAAACATCCAAAGGATGCGAATAGATCTAAAATTTGCCCTCAAACAGTTTGGCTTTGACACTCCAAATCCTGTTCGAACGCAGGCACAAAGCAATGCCACCGCCGCCGGACTTTGTGATCTGCAAAGTGTTGTGCCGGACAGCCCAGGCCGCCCAGGCCAGGCTTGCCATGCGGCTGGTTGAATTCACTGTGGAGCCTCCAAAACAGAACCAAAAAATGTGAGAGTTTTCAGAATATCTATACAGTATCTATATATAATATATAATATATATATACTGTATACAATATGATATTGGCCAGTATGAAAATGAATGAACGTTTTGAACAAGTTGATTGCTTCCATCCATATTTGGGTTTGTTTACCCACGTCCAAGGTCCAACCGATTGTCCATTTCCTGGTTTTAATCATCACTCAACACGGTGACTGTGCACAAAGACAATATGGTCAAGCCTCCTTGACAAGAGGATGTTCATGAAGGAAGTTAATGCTGATTCCTGCAAATGGTTAATATATGGTTGATATATGGTTGATATATGATATATGGTTGCAAATTCCAGGGTTGTCCCCACACCCCGAAAAAAATCGGTATGGGTGAAAAATTGAACCCCATTGGACCACAGATTTGAGCCAGGCGAAGCGTTCGCGAAGTCAAGCTTGTTGGTGAACTCAGTTTCACCGATTTAGTAGAAACATGGGATATCATGGGATATGGATTTTGAATCATCCAATACACACCAAATGAATTGCAGATTTGGATGATTGAAAAATAGGGAACCAACGGATCTCAATTTGAACCATCCAAATGCAAAGCTTCACATAATTGTGATGTTGTGTAGGTTTGAACAAGGTCTTACCAAAATCCAGTGATAACGTGATACATTCTATGTGCTAAGCTGCTAAATGCATCTAATTCAACATGTACAAGGAAATAGATGTATAAAATTGATGCAATTCAGGCAGATTTCCTTGTCAACGCGTACACATGCAGCCAAAAAACCATCCATATATGGCATAGTTACTATGCCTACAGAAATGTATTCCCACGCAAAAATACTGAGCATCCTTTTTTTCTGATCTATGCCCTTGAAAATTCTCCCAAATCCGCTCAGAATTGGCGGGAAGATTTACAAGGTTTACCCGAAAGTTTATCCCTCCATTTTTAAGGGTAAGAACCAGTGGAATTGTCCTGCAATTTCTTCCTTTCTACCAATCCCATACCCTCTAGCAATTTAGCATGGCTATAGAAAATATATGAACATATAATGTTCCATGATTTAGCTATTGAAAATGGTGATTTTCCACTCAAGCTGTTCAGTTGCCAGTTGCCAGAGGTACTGTATTCCCATATTCCCATGATATCCTAATTTTACCTAGTTAAATCTACCATTTTTCTATGGCAAATCCCCCAATGTACCAATTTTCCCCATGAGCAAAGTGGTTTCAGAACCTGAGGTTCTGCAAGGCTTCCGAACATGTCCTCCTTCCTGCGGCAGGTGCTCATTTTTCGCCGATTTCATGAGGGATTCGGCAAAAAATTGGATGTTTGCCGGCAGTATCCGACATTTTTTGGGGGTGACAACAACAATTGTTGGATGCTTGGTTGACACAGGGATTTCAAAGGCCAAAACGTGGAGTTCACAAACAACTCAGGGATGTAAATAATCAACAGCATAATTTCATATAATTTCACCAGAAACAATGGGATCTTTCAAAGAACTGCTGGTTGTTTGATGGTCTCTACCCAAAAACTGGCATGTGCATATTAACACTGGGAAGACTTTATAGCAACACCCCAAAAAATACTTAAAATCGATTTAATTACCATTAGTAGGATTGTACTAACTTCTATCATCTTGACCTTTTTGGTGGTTAAATAATATCTTTCCATGGGTGGACCTTCATGGGTGGACGAGGACGATGTATGTTTGTTTAATGAACAGAACCAGGCACAAATGGTGAATTCAATTGTTCATTCAATGACAAAGTTTGAGATAGACTGATAGTTTTTGCCTTTTGGCACAAAGTCCCACTTTTTTCGATTTAGCACAATGTGGCTAGAACTGAGAGCAGATGACCCTATCACAATGGTGTATTTATATAAAGAGTAGATAGAATATGGAAATTCTAACAGATCCTGACCAAAAGTGAAATGTGTTTGGACTCTATGTTGATTCTATTTGATTCAGGAACACTATATATTTGAGGGTGATTATATATATATATACAGTATACACATATTATTCAGACGGATATTTCAGGGTAAACATATATATATATATACATGTTTATCTTCCAGGATAATTATCCAGTTATATATATATACGGAGGTTTCTTATGAATTGGAGGATCCCCAAGTTCACCATAGGTTTCAATACTAAGTCATGGTCATCCATGTTCCCTGGATGATTTGGGGGTAGCCCCATTACTTAGGAAACCTCCATATCTATATTTCAGGATCATTATACACATGTATAATATATACTAATATATATATATATATATATATCAGGATCATTATACACATATATATACACATATTATAATATATTATATTATATCATATCATATTATATTATATCATATTATATCATATTATATTATATCATATCATATTATATTATATCATATCATATCATATTATATTGTATCATATTAAATTATATTATATCATATCATATTATATTGTATCATATTATATTATATTATATCATATCATATTATATTCACATTGTAAATATAATATTGTTTACACACACCTATCCCTGTCCACTTCACTCCCTTTGATGGCTTCGGACTCCGCCAGGGCTGGAGTCCGAGACGCAATGTCTCAGGACGAGAAGCGACCTGGCAGGGGATCTATTGTCAACAAACATGGGATTAAGAAATCAATCTTCATTGCTGGTGGGTATGGGATTATGTGTGTATATATATATATATATATTATATAGATCATATATATATATATATATACATAAATGTGAATTATTGTATAGGCCACGAGAAGATAAGGGTTTGTCCAGGAATGGCTGGGTATACCATATTTTTTTTTACCTCCATAGAAAACATGAGGGAAAAGTATGGGGATTTGGAGCCACCAGTTCTCCCAAATATGGCCACATACTGTATTGTGGCCGTGTGTGCAGGAGCGGAACCAAACAATTTGCAACCTGGGAGTCGCAGGTGCAAGAGGTGCCACATGATGTGCCTCGTTGCACCATTATCAAAAAAAAAGGTAGACAGATAGATAGAATGCTAGAGATAGATAGAGATAGATAGATGGAGATAGATGGAGATAGATGGAGGACATGTCCAATAATATATATATATATATTACATATTTTACATATATTTGCACATATCTGGGTTATTAACCAGTGAAACCAAACTAATCCCTTGGCCCGACCATCCCACTGGCGAAAAACTGGGGTCATCTCCCATGAAATGTCGTGTAGACACAAGGGGGTATACATGGTATACATAGATACCCTAGCAATCCCTCTGTTTTTTTTTTTCGTGGATACAGTATTTAAGTGTATTTAAGGGCTTAGTGACATCCCTACAATACTAAGCATCCGCAGTTTGGCTGGTTGTATCCTCCTTTTTGGTTGCTTGCTGCATTGTTTTGTCGTTGGCCAATAATATGTTGAGGGTCAAACAAACCCTCTTTGGCAAAGACGGAGATGAAACATCAACGATTTGTAGATCGGTTGATGATTAAGTCAGATTTTCTTATTAAACGTCAACCTTCCATGGCAAACATGGAGGATTCTTCCATCTTCCGCATTCATTGTCCTAACAAAAACTACTGAATCATGGGCCAGTTGCGACCATTTTCGCTGAAACAAGACAGGGTGTTGGTTCTGCCATTTCTCATCAAACAAAACCGTGTTTTCCATATTGCCATGGTCATAGAACGGAATATGAAAATCATTTCAATATCATAAGTTATTATTTGCCATGGAACAAGAAAGGGTGTGAACCACAAGAAATGTGACCAAATTCTCATGGAAACCCTGGGTTTCCATTATACAAGTGTGGTATATTGTGGTCATGTCCATATTTTTCACTATATAATTACCACAATATATATAACTGGTTGGTGGTTTGGGTCATTTTTCCCGAATGCGTAGCAAGGGTTCCCGTTTCACTCTGGGGGTCTGGGGGTTGAGGGTGTGTTCGCTCGACGTTGCGTTCGCGAGCGCAACCGTTCGCAACCGTTCGCAACCGTTCGCAACCGTTCGCAACCGTTCGCGCGAACTCCGTATGGCCGTGCCTATGGGAAGTTTTGCAGAGGTGGTTCTTTTTGGAGGTTTCAGACGTCTGGTTGCTTCGTTTCGCGTGGCAGGCGTGGCACTTCGTGACATTCAGACGTGTTCTGCAACGTGTCGAAAGTCGTTGCGCGTGGCAGGCGCAATACTTTTGCGACGTGTTCAGAAGATGTGTTGCAGTTTTCGTGGCAGGCGCAGCACTTTGGGCGTGTCCATCGTCATTTTTCGTGGCAGGCGCAGCACTTTAGACGTGTCGCGTTGCGTGTTTTTTGCAAATCGCATTGGCAGGGCTGCGTCAAGTGGCGACAAGGTGCGAATTCCGTGGCAGGCGTGGCATTTTGTGCGATGTGCTGAAAATTGACGGAAGCCTCGCACGAAACATCGATTTTGATGTTGCCAATTTTCGGGTTCTAAGGAAAACTCGTAGGAAAACGTCGATTTTGAAGCTACAAAGTGAGGAAGTCTCGCACGAAATGCTCGTTTTGGTGCTCCCACCTGTCTCGTCTCGAGTCTCTGGTTTTCCTGTGGCCTCGCCGTGTCTATGGGGGAAGCTGCAAAACGTGTCCTTTTGTCATGTTGCCAACTGTGAAAATTGGAGGAAGTCTCGTACGAAATGCTAGTTTTTCTGCATGCACGTGTCTTGTGTCGAGTCGCTGGTTTTCCTGTGGCGTCGCCGTGTCTATGGGGGAAGCTGGAAAACCTCTCCGATTCGAAGGTTTCCAAGGAGGTTGTCATGTTGTTTTGCGTGGCAGGCGTGGCTCGCTGCTTTTCCTGTGGCGTCGCCGAGTCTATGGGGGAAGCTGGAAAACATCTCCTATTCGAATGTTTCCACGCAGGTTGTCATGTCGTTTTGCGTGGCAGCCGTGGCACTTTGTGACATTCCAACCTGTTTGAGAACGTGTCGAAAATATCAAAAGTGGAGAAAGTCTCGCACGAAATGCTTGTTTTTTTGCACCCACGTGTCTCGTCTCGAGTCTCTGGTTTTCCTGTGGCGTCGCCGTGTCTATGGGAGAAGCTCCGCACTCCACACTCTACACTTTACACTCCACACTCCACACTTTGCACTCCAGACTCCACACTCTACACTTTACACTCCACACTTTACACTTTACACTCCACGCTTTCCACTTTACACTCCTCCCTCCGCACTTTACACTCCACACTCTACACTTTACACTTTACACTCCACACTCCACCCTCTACACACCACACTCTACACTTTCCACTCCACATTTCACACTCCACACTCTACACTTTACACTACACACTCCACACTTTACACTTTACACTCCTCACTCCACACTCTACACTCCACACTCCCCACTTTACACTCCAAACTCCACACTCGACACTCTCCAATCCACACTCCGCACTCCACACTCCACAATTTACTGTACACTCCACACTCGACATTTTATTTTGTACACTCCTCACTCCACACTTTACACTCCTCACTTTACACTCCACATTCCACACTCTACACACCACACTCTACACTTTCCACTCCAGACTCCACACTCTACACTTTCCACTCCAGACTCCACACTCTACACTTTACGCTCCCCACTCCACACTTTACACTCCACACTTTACACTCCACACTCCACACTTTACACTCCTCACTCCACACTTTACACTCCACACTCTACACTTTACACTCCTCACTCCACACTTCACACTTTACACTCCACACTTCACACTTCACACTTTCCACTCCACACTCCACACTCCACACTTTACACTCCACACTCCACACTCTACACTCCTCACTTCACACTTTACACTCCACACTTTACACTCCACACTCCACACTCTACACTTTACACTCCACACTTTGCACTCCAGACTCCACACTCTACACTTTACACTCCACACTTTACACTTTACACTCCACGCTTTCCACTTTACACTCCTCCCTCCGCACTTTACACTCCACACTCTACACTTTACACTTTACACTCCACACTCTACACTTCACACTTTACACTCCACGCTCCGCACTCTACACACCACACTCTACACTTTCCACTCCACACTCCACACGCTACACTCTACACTCCACACTCTACACTTTACACTATACACTTTACACTCTACACTTCACACTCTACACTTTACAAACTCCACACTCCTCACTCCACACTTTACACTCCTCACTTTACACTCCACACTCCTCACTCCACACTTTACACTCCTCACTTTACACTCCACACTTTGCACTTTACGCTCCTCACTCCACACTCTACACTCCACACTCCATACTCTACACTCCACACTCTACACTTTACACTCCATACTCCACACTCTACACTTTACGCTCCGCATTCTACTCTTTACACACTCCACACTCCACACTCCCCACTTCACACTCCACGCTCCTTGCTTCACACTCCACACTCCACACTCTACACTTTCCACTCCACACTGCAGACTGGTAACAGGGGAAACATGTACAAGACTGTTCAAATAAACTATTGCAGAAAAGTATTGTGCGTGACTGCATAACCATGTGTTTTGACATCTGTACCATTAACATACGTGTGAGCATTCGGGTTCGTGGGCTTCATCTTGTTTATGTTTCCATATATTGGGAATAATAATCCCAACTGACTAATATTTTACAGAGGGGTAGGTATACCACCAACCAGATTACCGCGATCATATATAACATTTCCAGATGTGTCCATATTTTTCTATGATTGCCATAGAACATTGGAAGAAAAATGGCTGGGAATTTTCCACGGCCATGGCCACGATGGCCATGGCCACGGAAAAAAAACAGGTGGTTTTCGGGCGCGCTACGGATGGCGAGCCGGGAATGGATTTCATTGGACGCTTCAAAGGCGGAGATTTGGTTTTTGATCCCATGGATTTGATGCTTTAATGCTTGGAAAACCATATATCTGGGTAAATTATAACGACCTCACTGCGACCTCACTGGAAATCATAGTTAGTACATAAGGAAAATCATCCCAAAATGGCCTTATTTCAGGTTAGTGAAATATTGTGAAATATTATAATTTACCCAGATATACATATATATATATATTTATGGTATATACTATATATGATGGTTTAAATGTGGCAATGTCATAATATATAATATATGCATCTATACATAATTTATATATACATATCATCATTTATAATCATTCTGCAGCCCCAGTATTGATCCAAAGATCTGGAAGATAACGGGTACACAGAAGAAAATGGTGACTTAATATTTTTGTTTATGGGATAATGTTTTATTCCACATCGAGCTATAGGTCGGTATAAAATGGTATAAATATCAAGTCATCACCACTTTTATGGATGGGATTATTTCACCATTTTCAACTTTGTTAGGTTTATCAGATTAGGTTTACCACATGAAAACCATTTTTAACCAACATGTGGATTCTGAGCGGCGCTGAACCAGCCACAAAACCATGGTTTCTTGGGCCAGGATTGGCTGGGGATCTAACGATTTAAATCCTGGCTGAATGATAACGATCATGATGACGTGTTTTCATACGTAGATTGTGGTTAGAAAGGGGAATCATTCCAAGATCAACTGGACATGTCATGTCGGTGAATCATGAACTAGTTCAGTCAAAACTGTATAACCATTTAAAACGAGTTCAATATAATATATATATATATACATATTGTTCTTCTTCTTCTTATTATTATTATATATATATATATATTCACCACGAATCCAATCGTCGCTCGAGTTATGTTTACCAACAGAAGCCTGTCGTTTGGGGTCCCCGTCCTGCAGGAAGCATCAAGTTATTTGGTTACCCATGGTTACTCTTTTGGGAGCTTTTTGGGGATATTATTGGAATAATATTGTGTATATATATATATAAACTATATGATATATATATATCTAATATATCATTCCGCCTCAATGATTTTACTACTGATTAGGTTTGTGTGATTTTTCATCCATTTTTCAGGATCCCAGGCCAAGAATAACCAAGCTCCAGGCTCTGCTGGACAGGGTTCTTGGGAACGAGCGTGTGAAGAGGCCGTTGAAAGTTGGCCGAGGGCGCAGACCATGAGATGTTCGATTTCACCGGATTTCACCGGGTATCACTGTCACTCCTCTGTTCAATGTCACTCCTCTGGTAAACATACGAAAAACTATGGAAAATCACCATTTTTAATGGGTAAATCCACTATTTCTATGGCCATGTTCAATAGCTTTTTGTATGTTTACCAGAGGGTACAGTATCCCATGGAAAGAATACCCTGCAAAAATGGGAAGTTGATCTTATCACTGGGATTTCAAGGGAGCTTCCAGGTGTGATGGTCGTAGGTTAGTATGTGCAGTGCATATTTGTGAACCTTCTTTTCCAATCTTCACTGCAAGTATGTATATATTAATACACCAGATTTCCTTGCACAGGAAATGATGATCAATCCGACAGTTCACAGCAGCTGGCTCCAATTTTGTTCATTTCGTTTCCAGAAATACCCTGCAATGTGTGATGATTTTGTCTTTTCCCATGGTCAAATCTATCGAAATGTTGATTCATCCACTCAAAATGTTGATTCATCCTTTCAAAATGTTGAGTTTCATCCACCAGAAAATGTTGATCAATCATCCACCAGACATGTCGCAAAAACAAAAAACACAAGAAAATGTTGAGTTTCATCATGTTTCATCCACCAGAAATGTGGCTTTTGATCCACTCGAAACCATGGGATTTTAGTTCAACACTCCACAGAGGCACGCATGCTTCCGACGTCGCCTTCGGCTCGGCCGGGGATTTCCCGGACGTTTTTGGATTTTCCACTGTGGGTGGTAAGTCATCCCCAAATGCTATGGATGAATCAATTCCGAATTGTTGATTTAAGTTTCTTCTTGATGTCTTACTGGATGAATGATCCGATAAACATGTATCAATATATATATATAATATAATATATATATATATATAATATAATATGTATAATATGTATATATATTATATAAAATATAATATATATATATAATATAATATATAAAGTAATATATATATATACAATAAGTAAATAAATATATATATATATATATATCAATAATCAAGACTCCCTCCCTGGAGATGATTTTCTGCAGTTAGTAATTTCATACTCCCACCGGGGTTTCTGGTGAATTTCATACTCCCCTCATGGTGACTGACATTGGGCTGGTTGGTGAGGTTTGACCATCAAGAACATCGGTCATGTAGCAATAAACATGTGAACGAATGTGTCAGAGCCGCGGGGAATTACATGTATAATCATATATACCGTAAATCAATTGGTGAGTTGTTCAATCATCAAACATAAACATATCTAGTCAGCAAAATTTGGAGAGTTCAGCCTCAACAAAAATGGAGCAACCCACCCGGCCGGAGAGGCCCCAGTCAATGGTAAGATGATGGATGTAAGGTATCACTTATATCTTTCTGAACATGCACTCGTTTTATGATTAATGCTTCAGGTAATTTAATGCTTCAGATAGAAAGGGACATTCGAATATCTCGATCTCGGATCTCGGATCTCGATCTCGGATCTCGGATCTCGCATCTCGGATCTCGATCTCATCTCGGATCTCGGATCTCATCTCGGATCTCGGATCTCGGATCTCGGGATCTCGGATCTCGAATCTCGAATCTCGGATCTCGGATCTCGAATCTCGGATCTCGGATCTCGGCGGATCTCGGATCTCGAATCTCGGATCTCGGATCTCGGATCTCGGATCTCGGATCTCGGATCTCGGATCTCGATCTCGGATCTCGGATCTCGGATCTCGGATCTCGGATCTCGATCTCGGATCTCGGATCTCGAATCTCGGATCTCGGATCTCGGATCTCGGATCTCGAATCGGGATCTCGGATCTCGGATCTCGATCGAATCTCGGATCTCGGATCTCGGATCTCGACTCTCGGATCTCGGATCTCGGATCTCGGATCTCGGATCTCGGATCTCGGATCTCGGATCTCGGATCTCGAATCTCGGATCTCGGATCTCGGATCTTGGATCTCGGATCTCGGATCTCGGATCTCGGATCTCGGATCTCGAGTCTCGGATCTCGAATCTCGGACCTCGGATCTCGAATCTCGGATCTCGAATCTCGGACCTCGGATCTCGGATCTCGGATCTCGGATCTCGAATCTCGGATCTCGGATCTCGATCGAATCTCGGATCTCGGATCTCGGATCTCGACTCTCGGATCTCGGATCTCGGATCTCGGATCTCGAATCTCGGATCTCGGATCTCGAATCGGGGATCTCGGATCTTGGATCTCGAATCTCGAATCCAGAATCTCGAATCTCGGATCTTGAATCTGGAATCTCGGATTTGGAATTTCGATACTTGGGACTAAAAGAAGAGACTCCAAACGTTCTTGCCAGGAACTTGCAGAAGAGATACCAGTTTTTAGATTCTGCAAATTCCCTGGCGAAGATCTTGTCTGTAGCACACATCGTGTGCAAGATCTTCGTGGCAGCTTCTGTAGAAGCTGCTGTGCAAGATCCCTTTGCAAAGTTTTGCATGGCTATTTGTACAAGGTGTCTACAAGAGATCTCCACGCAAGATGTCTGTAAATGTCTGTAAGCTAAGTAAGATCTCTGCTCAAGCTCTCTAATCTCTCTAGAAGAGATCTCTTAGCAAGATCTCTGTTTTCTGCAGGCCTCCGTACCAGTAGTACCGCACAAGGCGGTGGCGGAAGTTTCAAAAATAGGAAACCTATAGGGGAGATTGGTTGTTGTGAATCACGGATGGCAGAGCGAATCCACTGATGGACTGAAAGGTGGTTGGAGCTGTGTTTTTTGGGAGTGGCTGCAATGGTTGCAGTGGTCACCTGGTCGGTCACTTCACCCTGGATGTAGTGTGGTGTGGTGCAGCTGTAATTGTAATTTTAATGTAGTGGGGATGTAGTTGTGGCGTAGTGTAATTAATGTAGTGTAGTTGCAGCTTGTAGTGTAGTTGCAGTTGCGTTTGTGGTGGTGTAATGGGTGTAATGTAATGTCATGTAATGTAATGCATTGTGGGGTAGGGTAGGGTAGCGTAGTGTAGTGTAATTGAATGTGGTGTGGTGTGGTGTAGTGTAGTGTAATGCAATTAGTGTAGTGTAGCGTAGCATAGTGTAGTGTAGTGTGGTGTGTTGTGTAGTGTAGTGTGGTGTAATGCAATTAGTGTAGTGTAGTTGCAGTTGAAGTGGTAGTTGTAGTCGCAGTTGTAGCTGAAGTTGTAGTTGTAATGTAGTGTTATGTAATGTATTGCAGTTGCAATTGTAATTGTAGGTGTAGTTGTAGTTGTAGTTAGTGTAGTGTAGTGTAGCGTAGCGTAGCGTAGCGTAGCGTAGGGTAGGGTAGTGTAGTGTGGTGTGGTGTGGTGTGGTGTAGTGTAGTGTAGTGTAGTCTTAGGTAGCTGTAGTTGTAGTTCGTATTAGTGTGACGTAGTGTAATGTAGTGTAGTTTAGTGTAATGCCATTAGCGTAGGGCAATGTAAGGTAGTGTAGTTGCAGTTGCAGTTGTAGTTGTAGGTGTGGTGCAGTGTCATTCTGCGTAGTGTAGTGTAGTGTAGTATAGTATAGTATAGTATAGTATAGTGTAGTGTAATTAGTGTAGTGTAGTGCAGCGTAGTGTAAATGTAGTATTGTTGTAGTTGTAGTTGTAGTTGTAGTCGTACTTGTAGTTGTAGTTGTAGTTAGTGTAGGGTAGTGTAGTGTAGTGGAGTGTAGTGTAGTGTAGTGTAGTGTAATGTAGTGTAATGTAATTGATTGTAACTGAGTGCAATTGAGTGTAGTGGAGTGGAGTGTAGCGTAGTGTAGTGGAATGTAGTGAAGGTGTAGTTGTAGTTGTAGTGTATTGTATTGGAGTGTAGTGTAGTGGTGCTTGTAGTTGAAAATGCTACAAAACCCTCACGTTTAGCTCACTTTTGACATGGTGCACAATCCCTTGCGCCTGCCACGCGAAACGACATCTGAACGTCCAAAAGTGGTCCGAACCCCTGGTGTTTTGAACATTTTGACTTCGAAATGTGCCTCGCGCCACAACAGCGTGCACTTTTTCGACATCGCAACTTCTAAAAGTGCTCCGATGCTGAAGTGTTTTTAGCTTTTTCACTTGCAAATGTGCTTCGCACCACAACGGCGTGCACTTTTTCATCTCTCATCTGACCAGCTGGCTCCGCACCCGCCGCTTTAGCGAGCCTACTTTTCGACCCGCCGGAGCCACAAATCATTGGAAAAACACAGTGCTTCGCGCCTTTCCTACCTTTTCGCGCACCTGCAACTTCTTTCTTCTGACTCTTTCTCTTCTCTGGTCTTCTCTCTTCTACTCTTCTCTTCTCTCTGACTCTTCCCATCTTTGCTTTTCATCTGTCCATATTGTCGGAAGTTTGACTTCCGTTTGACTTCTAAACTTTACAAAAGGTCGTCTCTTGGCAAGACCTCGTACAAGCTCTCTGAAAAACATATCTCGACAAGCTATCTCGACAAGCTCTGTTTACGAGATCCTTTATAAGAGGTCTCCTGGCAAGATCTCTGCGCAAGATCTCTATAGGATATCTCTTGGCAAGATCTCTTTATAAAATCTCTGTACAAACTCTCTTTTCTTTAGATTTTTGGCAAGATCTATGTAAGAGACCTCTTGGCAAGATTTCTGGACAAGCTCCCTATATGAGGTCTCTTGGCAGGACTTCTGAAAGAGATCTCTGTACAAGCTCTCTATAAGAGCTCTCTTGACAAGCCCTCTTGTCCCCAAAGGCTCACACCTGCTACGAAAAAAGGACATCGATTCAAAAAAAGGTAACACGCCTGCTCAGTACTCGAATGAAAATCTTCTTGCCTGATCTACAGACATTTGTCTCCTGTCTTTCTCTTTGGTACACATAGTCCCACAACCGCAATCAAGTGTGAGTGCATCATGTGTGTGTGCAGGTGCCAGAGAAGATCCTACAGAGTAGCATCAAGTGCCTGTGCAAGTGCACGAGAAGATCCTACAGTGTAACATCAAGTGTGCGTATGTGTGTGTGTGTGTGCGTGTGCGTCTGTGTCTGCATGTGCAAGTCCCAGAAAAGATCCTACAGCGTAGCCTCATATGTGCGCGCGTGTGCAAGTGCCAGAGAAGATCCTTTCACTAGATTTGGTGATGCAGGCGCCATAGCATATTCAGGAATGCGTGATGGGTTCTTGGCGTGGCACACACGAGATTGTATTCAGGGTATACCCAATTCACACGCTTCGCGCATGGAAAGCGCCTGAGAAGAGAAGAAGGTGGTATGAGACAATATATGAAGTGGAAATTCTGAAGAGGCTCAAGACACTGCCAGCCGTCGATCAGCGGCGGAGGGCCTGTGAATTGGCCCATTTGCCACTACGGATTTGTAAAGTGACGTTCCCTGCAACAGCTTAAAGAGAACAGCTTGTTCGTGACAACTAGCAGGTGCAGGGAAGTTGGCAAGTCTCCCTTCCCACTTCTATCCACAGCTTAGTTGCATGTGTGCCAGACGCCCCTGCGATTCTTGGATCCAATGCGCGCATAGAGCAAGTGCGCTGAAGTGATGATGTTACCTGCAACCGCCCGAAGGGAACAACTTGTTCATGACAACCTGCAAGTACAGGAAAACTGGCAAGTTCCCTTCCAACTTCCATATCCACAGCTTCGTTGCGTACGTGCCAGACGCCCATGCTATTCTTGGATCCAATGTGCACATGGAGCGAGTGCGATGAAGTGATGTTACCCGCATCCGCTTGAAGAGAACAACTTGTCACATGACAACCTGCAAGTGCAGGAAAGTGCGCAAGTTTCCCTTCCCACTTCTATCCACAGCTTCGTTGCGTGTGTGCCAGACGCCCTTGCTATTCTTGGATCCTATATGCACATGGAGCGAGTGCTCTGAAGTGATGTTACCCGCAAACGCCTGAAGAGAACAACTTGTCATGACAACCTGCAAGTACAGGAAAACTGGCAAGTCTCCCTTCCCACTTCCATCTACAGCTTCGTTGCGTGCGTGCCAGAAGCCCTGCGATTCTTGGATCCAATGTGCACATGAAGCGAGTGCGCTGAAGTGATGTTACCCGCAACCGCCTGAAGAGAACAACTTGTCATGACAACCTGCAAGTACAGGAAAGTTGGCAAGTCCCCCTTCCCACTTCTATCCACAGCTTCGTTGCGTGTGTGCCAGACGCCCCTGATATTCTTGGATCCTATATGCACATGGAGCGAGAGCGCTGAAGTGATGTTACCCGCATCCGCTTGAAGAGAACAACTTGTCACATGACAACCTGCAAGTGCAGGAAAGTGCGCAAGTTTCCCTTCCCACTTCTATCCACAGCTTCGTTGCGTGTGTGCCAGACGCCCTTGCTATTCTTGGATCCAATGTGCACATGGAGCGAGTGCGATGAAGTGATGTTACCCGCATCCGCTTGAAGAGAACAACTTGTCACATGACAACCTGCAAGTGCAGGAAAGTGCGCAAGTTTCCCTTCCCACTTCTATCCACAGCTTCGTTGCGTGTGTGCCAGACGCCCCTGCTATTCTTGGATCCTATATGCACATGGAGCGAGAGCGCTGAAGTGATGCTACCTGCAACCACCTGAAAAGAACAGCTTGTTCATGACAATCTGCAAGGACAAGAAAATTGGAAAGTCTCCTTTCTCCGATCTCGAATCTCCAATCTCGGAGACAGATCTCGAATCTCGGATCTCGAATCTCGCGTCTCCGATCTCATATCTCGGATATTGAGTCTCGGATCTTGAATCTCGGATCTCGGATCTGGGAGCATGGGATCTCGGATCTCCCATCTCGGATCTCGGATCTCGGATCTGGGATCTCGGATCTCGATCTCGAATGTCGGATCTCGGATCTCGGATCTCGGGTCTCGGATCTCGGATCTTGGATCTCGGATCTCGGATCTTGGATCTCGAATCTCGGATCGGGGATCTCGGATCTTGGATCTCGGATCGGGGATCTCGGATCTTGGATCTCGGATCTCGGATCTCGAATCTCGAATCTCGAATCTCGGATCTCGGATCTGGGATCCTGGATCTCGAATCTCGGATCTCGGATCTCGGATCTCGAATCTCGGATCTCGGATCTCGAATCTCGAATCTCGGATCTCGAATCTCGGATCTCGGATCTCGGATCTCGGATCTCGGATCTCGAATCTCGGATCTCGGATCTCGGATCTCGGATCCCGGATCTCGGATCTCGAATCTCGGATCTCGGATCTCGAATCTCGAATCTGTCCGTTGCCAAGTGCGTTCTGGAATTTTCAGTTCTGTGGTATACCAGAACATGTGCTGCTAATCTCCCAGCCTTTGCTTTCCATCCACCTTAATGGAAAAAAAAGGACCTCACGTCCCGCCGTCACCGCTGTAAATCGACGTCATTTTGATGGGAATTGGCCTAGACAAATGTCCATGAGTTGGTGTATTCCTATAAATTCAGCCAGCTCCCAGCGAGTTTGCACTATTGTATTAAGTTCTACATTATGGGTGATAGAGACATCAGATCCATGGTGCAGGCGATTGGGACTGCGAAGGTGCGATGGCTGTGGCCGAAATGAGCAGTTCATAGGATTGCCCATATTAGTTCAGTGTGAGAATCCCGAGTTGGAGAGTCTAACCCCATGTAATACTCAAGCAACAGGGTTTCATGGTTTTGAACATTGCTCAGATGACACGTGGTTTATACTTCACTTATTTCTGGTTGGTTGAACCTGATTGTCGATGATATCCTCGTTCAGTCGAGCGTTTTATTTCGGGTGTTTCATCCTAAAAGTACCTGGAATGCCGTTTTATGTTTTGTTGGGCATGTTGGTCTAGGGATGCTTTCGATGAGCACCATATATTCCGGTTCAATCTCATGGTTTGTGTGTTTTTTTTAATGTCAAATTGATCGATCTTGATTTCCCTAGAAAACAAATAAGGTAAGGATATGGAATCTGGAGTTTCGTATGGTTTGGTGCTGTTAAACCGCTTTGATTCAAGTATATATTCATCAAATCATATCCCATATCCCGGAATTGGATGATGAGCATTACCAGGTTTACCCCTATGTTTCATGGTCAAATTTCAAATGGATATGTTCCATTATCATCAGTCCATTGAGTGGCTTGGCACTATGACCAACACAAAAAAATCCTTTATACATAGATACATAATTATAGATGTATAATATATATATATATATGCATATATACAGTATACAGTAGTACAGGATATCCACACTTCTATATGGCTATGGATCAATAGCGATACATTTTGTTAGGGGATGAACATCCATCAGGAGTTTGGATGGTAATGGAAGTTTCCGGCTGGGGGTACCCCCAGTTCTCATCCATATTTTCATGGGATTTTCCATGAAATAAACCATCCATATTTTCAGGGTACCAGCCAATAGGAAACCTCTAAATATCCCTGCCATGGCAAAGCTCCCTTCGATGAATACATCTGAGGTTTCCCCCTGCCAGACGAAGGAGCGAGTCCCAGGAGGTGTGAATTTTTGATGGGATTGGTTGGAAAATATCACGGTCTATTGGTTTATAATAGGGAGAATCTAATCATTGTTTTGTCTCTCTTTTTCCTATGAAATATAGATGCTTCTTGTATTTTGTTCCCTTTAACAAATCCAATGTATTATTGTTATTACCATTGTGATGATATATATATATATGTATATATATATAAATATATATACACAGATAGATAGATAGATAGATAGATAGATAGACATGAATAAATAAATAAATGAATAAATGAATAAATTAAAAAATGAATGAATGAATGAATGAATGAAATGAATGAAATACATGAAATGAATGAAATGAATGAATGAAATGGAATGAATGAATGTAATGAATGAATGGAATGAATGAATGGAATGAATGAATGATTGAATGAAATGATATGACATGAATTGAAATTAAATAAACT